TCACACGGTGAGACTTAACGGCGGGTGAGACTGATAACATGGTGAGACCGAACACTTGGGGAGACTGAACTCATGGTGAGACTGAACACATGGTGAGACTGATCACACGGTGAGACTTAACGGCGGGTGAGACTGATCACATGGTGAGACTGAAGACTTGGCGAGACTGGACTCATGGTGAGACTGAACACATGGTGAGACTGATCACACGGTGAGACTTAACGGCGGGTGAGACTGATAACATGGTGAGACCGAACACTTGGGGAGACTGAACTCATGGTGAGACTGAACACATGGTGAGACTGATCACACGGTGAGACTTAACGGCGGGTGAGACTGATCACATGGTGAGACTGAAGACTTGGCGAGACTGACCAAATGATGAGATTGACTTCATGGTGAGACTGAGGACATGGTGAGCCTGATCACATGGTGAGACTGGATTCATGGCGAGACTGATCAAATTGTGAGACTAAACACACGGTGAGACTGAATTCATGGCGAGACTGATCAAATTTTGAGACTAAACACACGGTGAGACTGAATTCATGGCGAGACTGATCAAATTGTGAGACTAAACACATGGTGAGACTGTTCAAATGGTGAGACTGAAAACATTGTGAGACTGAAAACATTGTGAGACTGAACAAATGGTGAGACTAGATTCATGGTGAGACTGACCACATGGTAAGACTCACCATATGTTGAGACTGATCACATGATGAGACTGAACACACGATGAGACTGATCAAATGGTAAAACTGATCAAATGGCGAGACTGAACACATGATAAGGCTAATCGCATGGTGAGGCTGATCACATGGTGAGACTGAACACATGGTGAGACTGAACACATGGTGAGGCTGATCACATGGTGAGACTTAACGGCGGGTGAGACTGATAACATGGTGAGACTGAAGACTTGGCGAGACTGGACTCATGGTGAGACTGAACACATGGTGAGACTGATCACACGGTGAGACTTAACGGCGGGTGAGACTGATAACATGGTGAGACCGAACACTTGGGGAGACTGAACTCATGGTGAGACTGAACACATGGTGAGACTGATCACACGGTGAGACTTAACGGCGGGTGAGACTGATCACATGGTGAGACTGAAGACTTGGCGAGACTGACCAAATGATGAGATTGACTTCATGGTGAGACTGAGGACATGGTGAGCCTGATCACATGGTGAGACTGGATTCATGGCGAGACTGATCAAATTGTGAGACTAAACACACGGTGAGACTGAATTCATGGCGAGACTGATCAAATTGTGAGACTAAACACACGGTGAGACTGAATTCATGGCGAGACTGATCAAATTGTGAGACTAAACACATGGTGAGACTGTTCAAATGGTGAGACTGAAAACATTGTGAGACTGAAAACATTGTGAGACTGAACAAATGGTGAGACTAGATTCATGGTGAGACTGACCACATGGTAAGACTCACCATATGTTGAGACTGATCACATGATGAGACTGAACACACGATGAGACTGATCAAATGGTAAAACTGATCAAATGGCGAGACTGAACACATGATAAGGCTAATCGCATGGTGAGGCTGATCACATGGTGAGACTGATAACACGAAGTTATCACGAGACTGGTCACATGCAGCTACCTCTTACTAACTTTGAAAGCAGGATCCGTCAACGAACTGTTTTAGTCATGGCCATTGTCTTAAAAAGACCTACACAGCCAAATTTTTGACTGCCTTTTTTAGAGTTTCCTCGAAGTTTAACCTTTCCTCCATAAAAAAGCCTGGAATAAACATTTGGATTTTAAATTTTTGTTCACAAATTGGTTTTTACCTTCTATGCCTATATACACTTGAAAATTCACAAAACAGGCAAATTTTATCTCAAACATGCGTTCCGTTTGGATTTCACAAAGGACAAAAAATTGTGGTATATGCCCAAATTGGAAGACCACACCCATTTCTCATTATAAAAAGATACAAAACACGTCCCTATAACTTTTGATTGGTAAGAGCAATTGAACTGAAAGTTCAGATATTCTCTAACCTTGGTGATTTCATTATGTGGACAAAATAAACAAAACGATCCGAGAGGGTTTGGTTTCTTAGACTAAATGAGTTGGTTTGGAATTACCCGTTCGCAAATCTGGCTGCATGGCCACCACCCTCCTTTCCCCGAGAGCGAAATCATTAAACGTACGTGCAATGTTGTTCGTTTCGGCCAATCGACCCAAAAAAGTTGGTAAATCGCAGAGCATAATCTTAACGCCAGGATTAGACCCAAACTGCTTCAATGATAAGAATAAGAGTTGTAATTCAGCTGAAGTATATTGTATCTACAAATACCTGGGCCTGGTAGTCTTTAAAGGGCTTCAAAGATGATATGGTCTTCGTTAAGTTGCTTCCAGCACTGACCGGAGTTGTGAAATCAGCTGCGGATGTCATCTTGTATCTGACTTTGTAATCGTGAAGAACACCGTTAAGAGACGAAGGCTGCGACCAGGAGACTTGGATGCTGGTCGAAGAGAGCGCCGCTGATGAAACAGCTGACGGGGACGATGAAACTAAAATGGAGATAAGCAAGGTTACAATCGAAGCGAACAAGGATATCAGACGGCAAAAACCACAGAATATTAGTAAAGTATATCTGCAAGGTAGGAATGAAAGAATTATTGGAGACAGCATTTTTTTAGAACAATAGGAGCAAAATGAATTCTTCATTGGAAAGAAAGAATATTACAATTGTTTGGGGGGACTCGTGCTTCTTTTGGAGGGACATATATAAAACGTTGGCTATTTTGTAATTAAAGAATGAATATAATTAGAAGTGGGATATAACCTCCTTCTTCTGTTTTAAAGTCAAGGGTTCCCGTATCTGAATTTATATTAAGAGGCGATGATTTCGCAGAAACCTCGATGGTGTAGTCGGTGTATGCACTTAGGCCCGTAAACGAGGCTGCTGTTGTCTTCAAGTTATTCTGTGTTTCCTGTGTTGATCCATCAGACTTTTTTTTAAGAATTACATTGTAGCTTTCGGTAGGAAAATCCGAGACTGAAGCATTCCATGTTACTGATGCAGTTGTATTGGTAAGTGAGCTTGTTGCCATGCCGCTTGGTGTCGAGGGTTTAGCTGCAAAATCAAAAAAGCTTTTCATGTAATGAAATAAAACTATTAATAACAAAATAACCTATCATAGCTACCTATGTAAATCACTGGGCACTAGTTGACGTAAGGTTCATAAAATGTGTATACTTGAGCTCTTTCTGCTCATTGTTCCATGTTGCCATTTTAGCTTTGTCACCTGCCCACTTACCTAAATATTAGACATTTGAAAAATGACAACTTCAAAGAGGAATTTGAACGATTGTTCTGATATTTAGGCCCTACCTACCCAAGAGTCCGGTTACAGTAACTTCTACTGTGCCACTCTTCGAAGTGCTCGATATCCCAGGATACATTGCTGAACATCCAAATGTGTGTTTACATTGAACAAGCCCCTGCGCAGAATCGGTGACAGTACAGGATGTAAACGAGTTAGCTACAGTATATGGAGTGGCAGTGATCTTCAAAGTTTTGGTCGTTTCTCCATTTATATTTTCATTTGTTACGGCATTGTTTCCAACTTGATAAATGCCAGTGGATGTCAAAGTGTTGCTTCCGTTTTTCCAAGCTGCTTCAACGCCAGGCTGCGCTGCTACCGTGCATGTCAATGTTACTTCGCCATCTCTTGCAAGCGACGGGCTTGACGGTACAATGGAGATCGAAGACACTTGGCCAACTAAAACAGAACAACGTTCCTTGAAGCATGCAACATTTACATAAATTAAATCTGATATTATTTGATGAACAAAGTTTAAATGTCACTGCACGCTCATACCTGGGTGGCATACCCAGCTATTCACAATCTTTATGGAAAAAAGTGTTTCCAATGATTTCAACAACGTGGTACTGAAAAGCTTTCCTGGGCGAGTCCAGTATAAGCCTGCATCAAAATTATACAAACAAGAAAGTTCTTCTGATATGAGAATTTTTAAATAGATCTAAGCAGCATTTCTGAGCACCCCCAAACCCCGCAAGATAATCCAAATATATACCCGATACAAAACTGCATCAATTACATATTTCTTAAAAACATTATTTCTTAAAAAAAGCATCGACAAGGGTACATGAAGCCTATTGATCGTGCTCTTTTGATAGTTCGTGTTGTTATTAGGCACAAGAAGGTTCTGCGGTAGCCTAATAGTTTGAACACGAATTAAATGTGTGAACACTTCAATAAAGATTGTTTTTGCAATTTTTATGATCCAGAAGGGTTGGCATATTACAGAGTTGATGATAAGGAGAATATGATGTTTTGATAAGAAGGAAAGACTGGTTAATTTTCCGAGTCTATTGCTTGAACAGCTTTCAATTTCTTCTAACTAGGTCAATTGGGATACATTTCCAAGAAGTATCGAATTCTCCCACCCTCAGGTTCCACACCTTTTAAAATGCTACTATTAAAATCTTGAAATGCAATTCTTTTTTAACTCGTTATTCGTAACAGTTTTAAATATAGGCTAAGATATTTTCTTCAGTTTATATACCTGAGGCACAGCCAAGCATTTCCCAACGCAGTCCAACATTCTGATTAGTGGGAGACTGAGTTTCGACTTGCAAGCGAATACAACGGGCTATTATTGTATGTGGTAGATCTATCTGTGATGACGAGTAACGACCATCGGCCCCTGCGAATTTCTAAGAATAAATAGCAAAATCACAGTTAGTGAGTAAATTATCTTATTTCAGTCCATCGATACTGAAAGGAAATTCAGTCATAAAGTCACAACATTAAAATAACAAAAAATTTAACGTTATTGCTTGACTTATCTATTAGAGAGAATAAGATAAATTTCTATATAAGTCATGTTGAGAAAATGTTAGGATTTAGTAATTTAATGTTGAAAAGAAATAAAGATGAAGTTTACAAATTAAACATTTGTGCATTGAAAAACAATTAAACTCGCCTGTAACAAATTGCTGTGCTTGTATTCGAAAAATGTACCAGACGCAATGGTAGAATAAGAATACTTTAGGGAGAATTCCGTCACTTTTGCCAAGTTATCAACATTGCCCTGACCCTGAATCACAATCGAACTGATTGACTGTACACTTGGTAAACATGCTTGAATCCATGGTTTGGCTCCAGTTGATTCTTTCGGGAAACATGAACCGAACTGGCAAGCTTCCCAAACAGATTCTACGTTAAACCTCCCTTTGTGGGCTCCATTTCCATTAGCAGATGTTGACGATGTCATCGAGGCATCGGAAACTGAGCTGGAAGATTGAATTCCAACAGTATCCCGGCATTCTGTGAAGAAAAAAAAGATAAGACAAAGTTTTTATCTGAGATAAATCAATTACCTCAAAACTAAAATGATCGATATAATAAACAAGACTAGTTAAAACGAATTTGGGCCCCACAGTATGCACTTTTTATTGAGCTTTCGAACTTAGGCCCAAACTCTTGAACATAGGCCCGAGCTCCAGGAATTGCTAGCCTCCACAATAAAAAAGCCACACCGATATTTCACTGACTGGCAAATTTTATACTCGCAAAGTTCCAAGATTGGTAGTTAAGTATTGGTGAGCAATATATGAAAGTTTGACTCGTTTAATTTTGTCTTGCAAGGTTTGATCAAAAATGGTTGTTCTCGAGTTCTTTTACTCGAGTTCTATTGGTAGGTAAGCATTGGTGAGCAAAATATGAAACTTTGACTCCTTTTATTTTGTCTTGCAAAGTTTTATCAATAATGATTGTTCTCGAGCACAATCATGTTTTATGCAGCCGTGTGGATGTGGAAAGAGCCTCCTCATTTGTGTATATATTCTCATGTACTCTATTTGTATTTATATTTGAATATCATGAAGTCACACGTACCACACTTTTGTTTGAAATTCTAACAATGCAATGAAAATACTGATAATATCAAAAGAAAAAACATGGTCAGGCACTTCAAAAAATTTCCTGTCCTTTGCATTCCTTGCTCAACAAAATACTGAGATTCTTGAATAGCTTGAGTTCACATACAGCGTTCTTAATTAGCAAAGTACTTCTGCCGGGTAATACGTCACAAAAATATGATTCGAGCGTTTCTTAATTTAGACCATATTTATGAAACGGCCCCATATTAATTACAAAAAGTTGCGTTGACATGAAAAGCAAATAAATCCGTCACAAATCTGTGTTATTATGATTTAATCAAAAATCTGTTTCCAAAATTTTTGAATTTTGAAAAAATAGCCTAAAGGCAAAACAAGAAACAGCTCTAACAGTGTAAAACTAGTTGATCTGTTGCAAATAAGATGTGGCGAGTAAAAGAACTGTAAAATTAAGGACTACTGCTTTCTTGGGGCCCGTTCACACTGGTCCGTTTTTAAATGAAAATTAGTCTGTTCTTTTCTTGTGCTCTACTTTGAAAATGGAGTCATTTTAAAACGAAAATGAATATGGAAACTTTTGAATACAGAGCACGTATTGAATACACTCGGAGACATTTGAATACGCTTACAACGGAAACAACATATGTGCTTTCTGGCACACCAAATATCAAACATTTCTAAAAAGAAAATTCAAAATGGACGAATGGCTGTATAGAAATCTTTTTCACGATTTAATTTCATCTATTCAGGCATTACTTCGATGTGTATTCGTGGAAGCATCTGCTCGAAAATGAGGCTACCAAGAGCGTTTATGTTGGAGCTGTGTGAACACTAACCGTTTTCAAAGTGTATTTATTTGAAAAGGTATCAGTGTGAACGGACAGCGTTTTTATCAACAAAAACGAAGCGAAACGGATACGGAGCAATGTGAACGTAGCCTCGGTCTGGTTTATATAATTTAGAACAAACAAGAAGGGTTCACAGTGATTTGATGGGCAGTAGCCTGTGCTTACGTATGTCAATTAAACTGGTTTTGCACAATTAGAGGTATTTCATAATGCCTTTTTGAGCTATATGGACAAAATGAGCAATTCTGAAAATAGGTAATGATACAGTAGTTATAATATTTTTGCGGCGTTATCACTCCGGAACATTATTTTCATTTGCAAGTGTTGTCTCCTTTTTTGAAATATCCGATTTCAATCGCCTCATGCATTTTTCAAACATTGACAAGACAGACGTTCAGAGCAGACACGATGATTTAAAGAATTACCGCATCCCATCTTAGCATAGGGCAATGAGAATTTTCAGGGAGGCAAGCACCCTAACCCTACACTTAACTCCTTGTCTTTACTTAGATTTTGGGGAATAAGTCTCTACAAAAATATAGGATCATCAAAATTTGTTTTCTATAATACATATATTCGTATAAGTATTCAATTATGATTTTCCTTGTTCCATGGTTCAGACTCAAACAATTTAAAAAGTAATTGTGTGACGTCATCACTGTGGAACTCTTATACGTGTGAAACTTTGTGACGTCATCAATGAGGCAACCCGTTTATCACAGCTTAGATCACTAGTTGAATCAAATCATCTTAGGATACGTTCACACAAATGAATACGATTTGAATACGGTAAGTGTTCACACTGCTCCAACAGAAACGCTGTTGGTGACCACATATTTTAAACGAGGCATTCACGAACCCTCAATAAATTGGCATCATTATAAGTGAAATTAAATAAAAGCAAATCGTGAAAAACTTTGTTGTAACAGCTACCAGATACAACATTTGGTGTGCTAGTAGAAAGCACGTATTTTGTTGAAGTTGTTCACACTGAAAACGGAGCGTATTCAAGAGGCACCGTATTCGAAAGTATCCGTTTTCATTAGCGTTTTCAAACGGCTCCGTTTTCATAGCAGAGTAGTGTGAACGCAAGGCAAAAACGGCACAGTTTGACTACGTTTTCATTTGAAAACGGAGTGGTGTGAACGGGCCCTGAAGCCCAGCGCATACGGCAGACGTTTGCCTTGAAAAAAGAAGATTTTAGTCTTTTGCATTCCAAAGACAGAAATCTGTCGTGTGTTCTTTTCAAAGACAAAGATCTTTGTCTTTCAAAAGCATTCTTCGTAATCGAACATGTCATCTGAGCCACAACAGACAACCTAAAATGAGCACAACAGAAGAGACCAATAAGTCTTTGGTTATGTTACAATACCTGAATCTGGGCAACCATAGGCATTCATCCGCAAACAAATCGCAGTTTTCCAGGTCAACGGAACTATTCTTAGATACCGTATTTTTAAACTGGATGAGAACCAATGATAAACAATCCCCTCACGTGATTTGCAACCAGTGAAAATCTGGAAAACGAAACAGAATGAAGATATTCACATACCGTCAAAAAACTTCTTCATATAGAATTGGAATAATTTGCCGGAAAATGTTAGGATATATAAATTGCGTTTAAAATGATACCTTATCGCTCCCCCCTTCCTGGTAGGTCGACAGGGATGACACGTCATCCCCAAATTGAACTTTGAAAGTTTCAACCCATTTCTCAAATACAGGATCTCCTTGTATTGCAAATCCACTGATCACCTTTGCCATGCCAAAGTCATATTGAAAGAACTGGTTCGTATCAGATGTCGTTGCACACCATGAGTTAGGAGTGTTTAGTTTGCTTCGCTTATCAGGTACTATTCCACTTGAAGCACTCACGGTCGGGTTATTCGTGTTTGGCTCCCCAGCTTCCATGCCAAAACTGGAACTGCAAACTGCAACAAAAATTGATTTTCAATGAATCAGTGGCCAAATTCAAATATCCTATGGCAGGTATTGCAAGCATCAATTTGTTCGAGGTTTAAAAGGGCAATGACTTAGGGAAGTCTTCACTGCTGCAAAAACAGTAAAGTTAATAAGCAGTAGAACTAAATAATTGCAGACATCCTCGCTTGAATCAAGTCCCTCCAAATTAGAATTGCTTGATTAATGGCGAAATTCAAGTCGATCCATAAAGAAGATCTATTTCATTGCAAAAAGTCCAATATCAAAGTCAAGTTTGTTTTTTAAAAATGAGAATACAGGCCCAGCACCACTATTTTTGCCACCTTTCATCGAATTCATTAACTATAAAAGCAATGCCTTGTTGATACTGTTTTTAAATATGCATATATACAATACATTTAAATTACATCACATTACATACCTTAAAAACAGGAAAAATACATTTAATTGAGATAAAAAGATTAAGATGGGAAAGAAAAAAGAGGAATATGACAAAGATAATACAGTATTACTTAAAACTAGAAATAGCTCTTGCTAGTACTGCCCACAAACAATTTGTTCCTTGATAATGATTGTTTTGAAAATTTAGGTCAGGATATTCGAAGAAGACACCATCTTGGGTTTTCACAATTTTATAAAAACAGCTGCTCTAGTTGATGCTTAACTATTCTTTTTATCAAGAATTTTTGGTTTTCAGTTTGCCTTTGATTCAAGTCCAACGCCCTTTTGAAAATCATGAAGTTTTTCGAGGGTTTGACATTTATTTTTCGTTTTCGTGAAGTAAACAAAGACGTATGAAAATGAACACGTGATAGAACGGGTACAGCTAAAATCGATTGCGATAAAGGATTCGTACAGCGATGTACAGGCGATAATCATGACAATCATAACTTTTGCTCGTACGGTCTCGAGTTTTTGGGAGAAAGGTGTGGCATTCGATTGGTTTTGACTCCCAAAACTTCGAATCAAAACTTCCATCCATTGCGGAGAACCGAGCTGTGATGCAGCACCGTTTTCGTGCCAAAAAAATCGAAGGCCTTTAACAGATTCTTGGCAGAGCAACGCTCCGAAGATAATTCCCTTCCGCACAAAGAGGTGGCGGTTAACGACCTCCTCGACAAAGCCGATTGATTGACAATGAAATTGATTGACAGTTGTCATGGCAGCAGAAAAGTGACAAAATCTGCTGACAAAGTGCTGACAACATGAACTGAAGCTTCCATATGCTACTTATACGCGGGGCAGACTATAAGCCCTTCACTCGCGCGCTATCGCACGCGAGTTGCGGGCAATCACTCGCGCGCTATCGCACGCGAGTTGCGGGCAATAATTCATATAGATATACCAAGGATTATACCAAATTCAAGGCAAAGATAACCAGACATTTTATTTTGACACCTCATTCTTAGTTCAAACTGCAATTTCATTTGTAACCGCGTGACTGATGTACCTCTCCAAACTATTTACGCAGTACATCTGTTTCTTGATTCATGAACCAAATTAATACATTTTGTTTATCTAACGATTTTGTTGCTGGGAACTCGGAATTAGAAAATGATGATATTTACATTAAAAGACATTTAAAAACCCAATGTCAACCAACAAAAGCCTCTATATTTTACAGGGTCTTCTCTTGTTTCTCAACATTGCGCCTGCCCAATTTCTCGATTTAATGTGTCAGAAAATAAAGAATGCATAGTTGCGTGATACTTAGTGCTGTCATTCTCAAATTAATTTCAAATTCCATGCAATTTGCATATGAAATGTCCAATAACAAAAAACAGTTCCACATATCCCCATAGCTTTCATCATGCAAATTGTTTTCAATATTTTGTCCCTCTCAGTCGAATCTGATGTGGCGGAAATAGCAACTTTCCATTCGTTGGCATGCATTTTACAAAACGGCGCCCTAACCGACATCAGCAGCTTCGTTTCCTGTGTTTACCTTCCTTGTGTAACTGCGCAAATTATATTTTCTGACAAAGAAATTCGTGAAATTGAGCAGGCGCGATGTTTATAAACAAGAGAAGACCCTGTAAATTTTAGAGGCTTCTTTGTTGGTTGACAGTGGGTCTTTAAAGAGATTTAACGGGTGCATCAAAAGAAAATGTTTACACAAAGACGCCTTTGTTTGTAGAACAGGGCGGTTCTAGAGCCTAATCTCTTCAGAGACATTTTTGAGCGCGCGCTCGAAGCGCTCGAACCTATGCATGCGTACATTGGAAATGATCACGGTCGCTGCAATCAGTTTCATGTTCGCTCGCGCGCGTTTGAGAGTAGGTCTCGCTCCTACTCCAAGGCGCTCACGCAAGAGCTCAGCCAATGAAATCTGGTGATTGAACGCTTCGAGCGCGCAGTCAAAAATTTCTCTGATGAGATTGGGCTTAAGTTGCCATTTCAAGTTTCACGCGCAATGCGATGATCAAGCAAGTATTAAATTAAATATATAGAAGAAATTGAGCCAATGGGTGGCTGTTAGTCCCTTCTAATTCCATTGGTGCAGTCCCATCTGTATTAGTTCTTATACAACATTACAGACAAAATCATCCTCAATTTAGCTTAAAACAAGAAATTGATTAATCTATTCGGAAAATGCTGAAACTTGAATATTATCGAGTTGACGCCGATTTAAAGTTTGGGAAATTTTGAGAGATTTGACCGTTGAAAACGTTCCGGATGAAAATTTTCACTCAGTCAGTTGCTTATCACCGTCAAATCTCTTATATAGTTTGACTGAATGTCATTCTAAAATAATTCAATATCGCGAGTGCTAGCGTCATGGAAACGTCCTATTATAAAACTCTCTTCTAAAACATTTTATGTTTATAACTTTCTAAACTTTTTTGAATAAAATTGTAATCCTTAATTCGGATCTAAAGTCACAAATTATGTACAAAGATCTTTTTCAAAACAAATTGTAAGTTGGATTTGTGTATTTCTAGCCTATAACAAAATTGAAAACGCTGCCATCTTGATGTTGCTTGAAACTACCCTCTTAATGTTATTGGATTTAGCTGCTTACAACACAAACGAGAGCATGAAAACCAACGACGCAGTTGTATTATGCATCTGTTTTGTTTATCCCAACAATTCGCCAAAACTCAACTGTAGCCCAAGCTGAACATGTTCTGTTGTATTTTTCACATAACTTTTATGCACAAATCAACACTCATATTCAGCATAAATAACTGTGCGTAGAATGCTAAAGATTGAATACTCACTTGGAGGTCGGCCGTAAACCTCAAGAGTCAACGTATTATCCCATAATAAATTGCTGTTTTTAATGAATTGAATGTATCTTGCTGATACTGGCTTCTCAAACAGGTTGAACTTGACACCAGCATTGTTTGTGTTTCCAATAAAAACCTTCAAGATGACAAGTTATGATGATTATAAAAGCAAATGCAAAGGAGATATACAAACAATAGAATCGCATTATTACTGAGCATGTCATGACGGTGATTTACTGGTCATACCAAGATTTCATTTCGTTGTTTGTATCATAACACCAAAGCAAAGCAAAGAGAAAGCTTACTTTTTCTGTTGAGCTAGATTCTTCTTTGATCGTGATATTATTTGAACCCCGAGTATACTGCAATTTGAAGTCAGGGAAATAGTTTGGGCCGTACGTTCTGTCACCCTGTGTAGCAATTGCAGTTACCAGCATATCTCGGCCTAAATCAACTTTGAACCAGAGAAACGAGGTTTCCGTTCTGCTGCATCCCCATGGTCTGTCATTGTTTAGGCGACCATCCTTTGGTTGGTATCTACCATTGTTGAAAAAATCTGTAGTTGCATAAGCGGAGAATCTGTTGTCTGGCAAAGCTCTGTTTTCAGCACCGAATTCATATACGGAATCTGAAGATTAAGTAAATGGATAATGTTAGTATCATTAGTATTTGGTGTCCCACAGAAAATGCGAAGTGTTTGTAAAGGGTTTGTTGGTGATGTCCTATCAACATAATTATTAGATCAGATTCACTAATCTTCAAGTTCTCATATGTTGAGATAAAATATTGCGTTTTATTGGTTGTAGATAAAATGAGAACGCGCCAAAAAGTAACTACATGAACTAAAACCAAATACTAGAAAAAGGTTATCATAAAAATTGCTAAGAAAAAGCCCAAACTTTGAGCATTTCTCCCGTCCAAACAGTTTTTATTTGTAGCCAAAGTGTATATCATTTATGCTAGTCCATGAACATTAATATTTTTGATGGAATTATAAAAATACTTGTCAGCATTTCCTGAAAAAGATTTTTTCATGTTAGAGAATGCACAGTATTTTATCATCAGAAAGAATAACACGTTGAAATTTAAGGATGAGTTGTTACCTAAGTTGCAGCCAAGGATCTCAATTCGCATACAGACACCTGAATTGTACGTGTTTGGTTTTATTTTCACGTATCTCGTTTGCAGCCGCACACGGAACCAGTTCACAACTATCGTGTTCTGATCAGAGTTTCCAATGAAAAGCTAAAAAAGAGTTGGTAGAAAGTATGAAGACATGATCGCATTCAGTTCTGACCAACACCATCTTTCGGGGCTCGTAAAGATATAGGGCCATGAGGCTAACAACAAGTTCCTAATCCTCGACGTTAGGTAAATGCACAATGGCTTTCAAATTCCACACTATGTTTCTACGAACGCTCAAGATGTTTCAAGTACTGCTAGGAGCACTAGTAAAGTTAAATTTCCTTAGCACTAACAAGAGCAAATCGAAACCATATTAAAAAGGGCTCTGAAACTAAATCATGTTTTAACTCACCTTATTCCCAGTATTTTCTTGGTAGGTGACAAGAGAGCTGAGTGTTGTGCCATACTCAACATAAAAATCTTTCACCCAAGATGCTGCGCTTGGGTTACCTTGAGTTGCAATTCCACTGACAGTCACGATTTTCCCAAAATCTACTTGCAGAAACTGGTTAGTGGTTCCCGAGTCACACCAAGCGGCAGATGGATTGTTTAAACGACCTGGTGCCACTTCTTGTCCAGAGGAGTGGGAAGATGACGTCATTGCAAAACCTGAAGGAAGCTCACTGCCATGCTCAATGCCAAGGCCCTGTCCACAGACTGTAAAATAGTAGGCCAAGACTGAAATCAACTAGAGAGTTCTTCAACAAGGTGGATAACTGCGTATTAAGTACAAAAAAATTCAGCGTGACAAACTTTCGGGCAACGATTTGTCCGAAAATCCATTTGTATGAAATTTACTGTTGTTAATTCGAAAGTTTTTCAATCCGAAATTGTTTATATAAACTGCGCACGCGCAATGTAAATTGGCTGAAACAACGGAAATCAAATGATCTCTGAATCTGTATTCCCATTAAAAAAATGAAAAGAAAGGTTAACGATGATAAACCGAAATGTAATCAGAGTTAGCTTCAAAAAAGGCGTTCATCCTTTTAGTTTCTTCACCCTAAGTCTATATCTCTTTCTTTTGTTCTTTTGTAAAGGGTTCTTCACAATTTACTTGTACCAAACAAATTCTAAAAGGATATGCGCAATGCTGTGGAGTCTTTTTCTCCTGGGGTTTTCTTGTTTAGAATGAGTTTTCTTCAAGTGTAAAGTGTGTTGTCTCATAGTATTTCTTTTCCCTTTGCTGAAATAGGGGTATTTATGGGCTCGACATATTGTGAGTCTCACTTAAGCCTCATTGGGTATCAGGTATCGGGAATCAGGATACCTTTTGGGTACTCTCTTGTTCGTGCAAGTTAATAGAAATATCAGTACAAACAAATAACATTGATATGATAGTTCTTGTCTTCTATCAAAAAGTCACTTTTTTTCCTATGATACAGAACAGGTTTAAAATGTCCAGAATTGAAGACATAGGTGAGGAAATGGCTACTATGCTCAAGAACCTACCACGCCATGGTGGGTTCAAGTACTATTATTTGAGAAGACAAAATATGAAAGTTAATATTTAAAATACTACAGCATTTCGTTTTAGGGTGTTTAGTGTGTTTAAGAATGAAGTAATGGACAATCAGGTAGCTCAATTGACTACCAAATACATACCATAGAGGCATCCATAAAGTTCAAATCTTACACACAAATAGTCACCATTTGAGTCTGTAGGTTTAAATTCAAGATATCGTGCAGAAAAAGTTCGATTAGGAAACATCACATCTATTTTCTGGTTAGGACCAGTAGCTCCTGTAAATTTCTATAAGAGAAAAACATTATGTAACCTGTGATTAAGTAGATGTGGTCAATCAGAAGAAACAATACAACACAAAGTTGTTGGAAATATTTATTTGGAGCTGAACTCCAAAAAGTAATGTGCAAAAATTAATAATAATTTACTTTAATAGATTGCCAAGCGTTTTTGCAGAATCAAGTTACTGAATATATAATCAAATAATGCTTAACTGAGTTACCTATCATCAAAATTGAAAATGGAAAGAATATCAACACAAAAACAAGAAAATTCTTTACTAGAAAATTGAATGACAAGCTATAATGGTTCTATTCATTTTGAAAACCCATAGTTAGTGAGGATGAGATGCAAATACCGAGTTACTTTTCATTGAACTAGAGAGGATAACAACTTGCTAATATTTCAAATAGTTGGCAACTATAGGATACATTATTCATTAGAAGTTTAAGAAAAAAAAGTTCTGGCAAATAACAAAACTTTTGATAAAAAAGTAATAGTACTGAATTAAAAGTCACTGCGAAGGAACAACTGAGATACCATAAGACTTTCAGAAGACTTACCATTGGATCATTGTATGTGGTTGTTGTCACATACACATAGTTCGTCAGATCAACACTGTACCTGAGATTGAACTCTTTTATGTAATTTGATGCACTTGAAGGGTCTCCTTGGATGGTAATACCTGTTACACTAAAAGTATGCTTCAAATCCACTTTCACCCACTGTCCAATTCTTGGTTGACTTTGATCAGCACACCAGCACTCTGTGTGGTCAAGGCGAGCATTATAGCCTCTGCGTGGTTCATAGTTAGGGACATAGGATGACTGCGTTATTTGATCATTTGCAATTATTCTTGTCTTCATTCCCAGGGGCTGGCTGCAAACTAGAAACAATGCACTTAGTAAATTAAAAGATGACAAAAAATTATTCAGTACTGATGTAATAATGTAATAGTCTCCTTCAAAAGGCTTTATACAGCAATTTAACTACATGTATTGATTATTAACTGGGCTTATAAACAGCAAATAAATTGACAGTGATTACTCTAAAGACAACATCATCTAAATCTTTGAAAAAATTATGCAGGTGAAACCACTCACATTACATAGATATATAAACTAAGGACTCGCTATGTGTGTTAATAATGCATTCTGAACCTAATATTAATACTAGATTTGGTGACCATTGGGTTACCATGTCATGAATTATAGGTGGAAATTGACAGGCAGCTTCCCTCTGCCATTTGACTGTCACCAAAAGCCAACATTGACAGAACCACAAAAAACAGTGTGGCTTGTCACAGGTTTGAATCCTGCTTGGGTTGTTACTGGCTCACATTTTCTCTTAGCATAGAACAACAATCAGTTGGGCAAAATAGAGAATTTTAGGTCAAGCCTTGTTTACTATAAGAAACCAGCTATTAACAGTCATTGTTGTAGAAGCAAAGGGCTGGGAGGTTTAAGCCCCCCACCCAAATAAATTGCCAAATGTACTTAAAACCATACAAAAATTACCTTGCTTCTAGTTTGCAGCAGGTTTAGCCCCCTAACATTTTAGCCCTTTCAATCTGTAACATGCTCTGCAGTCCTTGCCAACAGTTAACACCATTTTACAAACAGGAAATGCCCATGACTCATTAAATATGATTGTAAAGGCAGTTTCAAAATCATAGAATCACATCACAAGGAATATTTTGGCAAAACATCAGCCTTCAAACATTATTATCTCATCAAATGTTGATGAAATACAAAATCAATCCTGATGAAATACAAAATCAATCCTGCCAAGAATTCAATGGGATGTATTCCCCTTTCCTTTACTCCTGTTATTGTCCACTTTTGTAATCTCTAGCCTTTCGATCAATCAAACCTAGCTAGTGTTTATGGCTTCTTTCACAGCACACATACCAGCTACAGTATACAAGCATGCTTTAAAATGATTATTGTATTGATAGTTTTGATGAAGGCAGGCTGTCCTACATAGTTTTATTATCATTTTTACATAGTGTTATTATCACTTTTATAGGGAAACTTTTGCTTTCATTTCAGAGAAATCTTTATCAAAATGACACTTTAATCTAATACAGTAATGACAGAAAAAATGTGTTCGTGCTGTAAGAGCTTTGTTTATGATCTTATTAATCAAAAAATTGTTTTCCTACATTGCCAGGAATATGCTTAATTTGGAGGATCAAGAACTTCAGCTTCACCTTTAACATATGAGCAATTAATATTGACTTCTTTTTGTCTTATTCACTTTCCCTCTACCTAACAATTTCCTCTCTGTCCAGGAAAGTGGTGGTAAACCTTGACATTACTTGATGCCACTTTTGAAATAGTGACCTCATCTATCAACAGCCAAATTGATAGAGCTCTTTATGTGTTTTTCGGCACATCATATGCATATTAAATTTTATCAATCAAGTTTGTTCTGATTAATTTTGCTGTGGAAACGATCTGAGTTTTGTGTTCTAGCAGCTTCTATTTGTTGTTTTTTAATTTAACAATTTAGTCTACAAAAGCAGGAGACAGAATATTTATTTTCTAAATTGTTTAAACGAAAGAGATGATTAGGCCGATAGTTCCACAACTTTATGAGAAATGGACTCAGAGATCCTTCGCACATGAAAAGTGAAAGAATGTAATCAAAAACAAGGAAATGGATTTTCAGTCGTTCTAGAAGTTCTGGACAGTGGAAAGGGTCAATTAGGGACAACCATTTGCTTCCGTGTGATCTAACCACTTTGGTTGTTGTGCGATCTACCTTATCTTATCCCCCATCAAGATCATTGTAATATTGACACACGGCTTTATAAACTTCGATTTCGTTAGTTGATGGTAATCATTCAATTTAGTCGAGTTGGCCAGGAACCAGATAGTTTCAAATGCTTGTAATCGCCACCAAGCAAGACAATAGGCGAATAGAATTAACGAAAAACGAAACCAGCCTAATAAACTTACAATCAGTTACAGCACCAACCCACGATTGCAAGATAGCCAAGTGTACCAAGATGCATACGGTCCAAAGACTAATCGCTGCCATTTTTACAGTGAAGTGTTGCTATATTGATTCATTCGATGCGTATTTACTGTTTATTCGCATAGTTGTGTGATATCACTGCTCTACTACCTCTCGCTTCCCGATCAAGTTCCATTATCCTTTGAACGAAACAAGGAAGTTTTTTCCCATTCGGTAGGCAACAAACAAAGCCATGGCTCCTTCCCAGCTCCTTAATGCCGCAAATCCAATGAGGTCATTAGTGCTTCCGCATATTCGGCATCAGGCAGGTTTCTTTCGGGCGTACGTAACACAATAATGACCTCATCGGAATATGACATGCAATTTTCTATCAGAAAATGCAGGCTGTAAAATTTTCTTTAAGATTCCCTTTCAAGTTTTTGATGAGTTGTATTGTGTTTGATTGATAACATAAAACTTGTAATCTTAACAAGTAAACCTTGTTTAATATAACTTAAATTATATTATGTCGAGTACCACAAGGAAACCTCTTAGAATTCAGTTCACTGTTTGTTAGCATGGTTACAAGTGCCCATATTTTAAAGCTAGGACTATCGAAAGTTATCAAAGGGTCGGATGTAGGGGAGGGGGCCAAGGCCAAGGGCAAATTGATGAAACGTAACATAATATTTAGAAAAGGCTTTTTGTTTTGTTTTGTTTGCAAATAGTGGGAACCTTGCCCAGGGACCGCGCACCAGTCTAAAAGTGGACGGGCTGAAATGGGTGTGTCCGAAAATTTTTTGAAGCCATGCTCTCTAGAACGCCGGAAAACACTTCTTTGAGAAAATCCTTGCTTTAAGAAAATCCTTGCTTATCCAAAGTTACGTTAGATTCAATCTTCCAAAAAATTTTCCTAGCCAATTATTGCGAAAGAAAGGGAGGGGGGCTATAGTTTCTGCTAGTCCAATAGCTGCGCGATACCTGACTATGCCCCATTGCATACCGATCTTCAGGGGGGCCGTTTGAGGACAAATTGGGTGGCCATTCTTATTGCCAGTAAGATTTTCTCTAGATTCGGTTTTAGCATCTCTCTAAGTAGCTCAAAGCCCTTTTTAAAGGGTTTTTAAGGGGGTGCTACAACCCACTACCACTGAGAAAGAGTCGCATCGACGAACCCTGCAGGCTACTACCCTGCGTATAGATGTCATTTCTTTTGTTATTTTTGTTTTGACAAAACGTTTATAGTATCCTAACACAACTAAACCCTTAATTTTTCATGTGATATATTCCATGAAAAGAAAATGATATAATCTAAGATCAGAATATGTTGATGTTGCCTCAAACGAGGGACCGCGCATTAGTCTAAATGTGGGAGGGCTGAAAAGGGCGTGACCGAAAATTTTTTAGGCCGTGTCCTCTCGAACGCTGGCAAACGCCTCTTTTAGAAAATACTTTTTTATTTCCACTGAAGTTTTATAAACAGTCTGGTTCAGAGAAGATATCAATAGTTATAAAAATAGATAAAATTAGCTTGGGGATATATAAAACATCAAGAAAAATACCTAGAAAATGAACAAAAAGGGTTTCCAGTCAAGAAGAACATAGTTAGAGTAAACTTTCCAAAGCTTTTCTAACCTACTATTGCAAAAAAGTGGAGGGGCTATAGCCCCTGCTAGCCCAGACACGGTGTCTGCCTCACACTAGAAGGACTGCTTATGGCAAACATTCATTTTATATTGAACATATCTCAGAGTTCAATTACTTGGAAAATTAATTCGCATACAAATAAATGATTTTTGTTTTGTCTATATATGTTTGTTGTATCCTATTTCTTTCTAGTTGATCAATTAGAAATTAGGAAATTACTTCTTCACTTGGTCTGTTTATTTTTGTCTGCAGGTGCTAACAGGTGACAACACTCATTTTTTTATTAGAAACTGGCTATAAGAAACGAGTACTAGACAGTCAGAAAAAATTAAGAAACTTCAGTACTCGAAGCAAAAATATTAAGAAACTATTAAATCGTGATAAAACTGGGATAAACGAAATTTTGTAAAATCCAAGAACAAAATCGCCCTGTTGGCCGAGAACTTAAGACACATGGGATAAAAATATACTTCCCACATCTTAATACAGCATCGAAAAGGAAGCGAGTCTCTTGACGTGAAAAAAATTAATAAGTTGACGTGAAAAAAATTGGTGTCCAACAAATGTGAGTTTCCTTTCATCAAGGATGTCAACAAGCAAAGTCTCTTACCACAGATTATTTTCTTTTGACATTCGGAGTGAACTCTTACCGGGATTTCTCACGAAGAATTTCGCTACAAAAAAGGTTAAAGTGAGCTTGACTTTCTACGCTTGAAAATTTTCACTTATCTTATCAGCAGGGTCGTCGATAGAGAGGGGTCAGAGAGGACAAGAAACCTCCCTGTAAAGCTAAAATCCTGTAAAGCTGTAAATTGGTTATCTATTTTTATCTAAGCATTACCTTTTGAGATGGAAGATTTTAAAGCTGAATATGACGACCTCTTTCGTTGTTCTGAATCAGATTGGCCATCTCTGCCAATAAATGATACTTAAAAGTGCCTTTTTGGGGAGAGGACCAGAAAAATCTTACTTTCGTATCATTTATAACATTTGACTTTGAAAAAATGACAAGACTTCATCTCCTGTTTTATTTCAGATCTGATATCGTTATGCCATGTTAAAACATAGGTGATAATAAACATGCTTATTATTTTTTAGTCGGAAAATCTTAATTTCTCGCCTCTTCAATGGAATTTTCCTATCTACGCCCGTCTACCAGTAGATTTGACATCCAACCATGAAAAAGAAAAGACCAATGTGTTAAAAAGTTTTTTCTTGGTACCTAGGGTGATATTTCTGTCTTTCCGTATGTTGGTAAGGGCTGTCAATTCATCGGTGTTGTTGGTAAAAATTGTTCCAAGATGGTGAATTTTGTCACTTTTTCAAAAGAAAATCCATCTATCACGATTTCAAAATTTGTAAGAATTCTTTCAATTTTCATGACTTTGGTTCTCTTGGCGGTAGTAAAATCTTTCATTCACTGATTTCACCCTATTCATGGAAAGAAATGATGCATCCTTGCCTGACACCTTGCTCGATTTTGAACGAATCAGTTAGGCCATAGGATGTTGTTACAGCGAGAAGATTATGAGGATTTCATGACTAAAATAAGTTATCTACATCTATTTGGGACATGGTAGAGGCACTGAAAAAGCAGCTAAGCCCTACAAAACCTGCTTTCAAAATTTTTGGATTCATAATAGTCACAATACTAAAATAGTCACGAGAAGGTGGCCTTGCTAGATAGAGTATCAAACAAGGGGTTGCGGAAAAGGCTGAGGGTGGAGGGGGTGGAGGGAGCAGTGGCATATGGTACGGGCATGTCACAAGATCGGAACCGACAGAGGTGATGAGTGAAACCCTAAGGAAAATAGAGAACATAAACTTGGAAGGGGTAGGTCACCAACCGGAAGGGGTATGAGACGATGGGTCAAGAGCAGGAGCACCGAAGGACATGCTCGCACCAGCCGGTATCCTACTGAATCAGCAGCGCCAAACGACGACGAAATGGAAAGTGAGGAATTCGAAAAATAAACTTGCTGTAGAAACCTGAATGAACAGATTTCACCCACTTTATCCAGACAATATTGTAACAAAATGCCAAGTTAATATAAGGCAACTAATCAGGTTTCAAACATTAAGGAAATAAACCTTAATGTAATAAAAGCTCCAAGGATAACAGGGAGATTAGAATGAATCCATTTACAAATTGAAATGAAGGAAATTCTACACTTACGGCTTCAAACGATTTGTGTATTAGATTCAGTCTGCGGTGAAGTCATTAAGTTTTATGTTATGTTATGAGAGGCAGACGTTCAAGGCAAAAAATAATTACATAAAAATTGGAACATGGTTATTTATAGTTGTAATAACCTGATGTGATAGCTGCAGTCTAAAGCTTTATCAAATATGTAATATTGTTTTATTCTTGTCATAGAAAGTTCTAAAGTGTCCAACCCCTTTTTAGTGTTTAGTTTTTCAGTATTCAACCCTTTATTTCTTTGCCTAAAGCTGATGAGAATGATTAGATCGTGTTGCAAGTACAAATCTGGCCAGTTGTTATTATGAAAAATGTGGTTTACTTTTCCTCGTTAGGAAATGTCTTCTATAAAATGCTGACTACCACGACAGGTTACCTATACCTATTTTCAATCCCCCTTTCAGCTCGCTCAGTACTGTTACACCCACTACACGCCTTAACATTATCCTCTCAGGTTAGCAATTCAGGTTAGCAGTATACACCAATTCGACTTACGACCTCATTTTGGAAATTTCTCCAAACTTAAATATACGACTTTTTTAAGCTCAGATTTGGTTTTATCGTCATAATTTTAGGCGGGATACCATTTTTCATATTGGTTGAGCTTGTATTTTAGATTTAACCGAGAAATGAAGTTTGAAAACTTGTAAGGGATTTGACCGCAAAAATCGTTCCGGGGGAAACTTTACCCCCCTAGTCGCCAATCACGGTCAAATCCCTTATAAAGTTTTTATCTTTATGTCGTCATAAAATCAATATCGTGAGCAATATCATAATAAAAACTTACAAGTAGGCTAAAATCATTGCTGTCATTCCGAATCTGAGGTCAAAAATTTTGTACAAAAGAATTTGAAGAATTTGTCAAAATGAAGCCGTACAATGCCTGCCAAAAGTACTTGGAACACCCACCAATTTACGCTGCATTTGATATCTTTCATTCCTTTCATGAAAAAAATTTGCTACTTCCGCCCCCTTCTCCCTCAAACAATGTTGATGATTTAGAGAAATATCATAAAAGAAGCGCAAAAGAAAGTGCTTCCTAAAATCCTAATCCGTTTGATAGTAAACCAACATTGTTCCGTGGGGGAGAGGGGAATGATTGGTTTTGACCTTGGAAATTGATGTCAGTGTTCCAAGACTTTTGGCAGGCATTGTAGGTCGAATTGGTGTATAGGGAGGGGGTGTTATATACTGATTAGATTTTCGTTCTCATTCAATGTTACTACCCCGAACCAGTGGCAAATATAGCCCTAAAAATCGGAGGGGCAAGCCAGGGACCAGTATTTATTTATAGGGGCCAGCGCTAGTTATTACTTTGCGAGTTAGTAGAATGTACAGGGCACCAATTTTCGGCCCCCCCCCTCCCCTCTTAGAGAAGTATGTCCTTGGTATAATTCTTTCAGGGCTGATAAAACTTCAGTGTTAAGATCGATCAAGGGCTTACTAAAGTTCACCGCCATGGCTGGTGGCATGAACAATTTTGGGACTATAACATTCTAGGGATGACCAGAAACTAAATTTGAATATCTACAACAGGTTTGAGCCCATCGAAGATGCTAAAAATATATTCGCCTTATTTTATCATTATGCCCAATAGTTTTATTAGTGGCGTAACGAAGCAGCTACGTCCTCTAGAAAAATAACAAAGAAGCAATGTTGCTGGGGCCCCCAATAGTTGCAGACCTTTTGTCCGTTACTCTGCTTAGTTTTATCTGTTTAACAATAATACATGAGTATTGGAATATCAGCAGAAGAACTACACTCTTAAGAATAAAAGGCAAAATAGCTTTGTAAAGTTGATTGGTAAATTTTTTCCATAGTAGCCATGCCTTATATCCAACCTCCATGAGATCAAGCAAATCATTCTGTTACACAGAATTTCAAAACACAGAATCTCTATTGGCAATGTCAGATTGCCAAGGTATACTGGGATTGTATTGGTATTTCCTTGCGCTGGGTTCCAGAGCGAAAGGGTTTTCAATGGGATGCGGAGAGTCTTGGTTTGGGCTTACCCTGCGCATCCCACCCCAAGAAGGTGTATCTTCGTAATAATATATAACAAATATAGAATTTAAATGATTTTCAAGAATGAATTTTTCTTTGTAACTACAGAAAGGAGCCAAAATTTCATTAATGTTCACCTCGGTTATAAACCAAAACGCTTATCTGGGCCTTTAGCTTGCTAAAAAAATGCAAAAAAGATTGCATTGAGCACAATAGAAGAGAGCAACCCTAACAAAGTCAAAAGACGATTGAACAGCTATGGAAGAAAACATCAAATACTTAATAGAAACTTTTGTAAGAACTGGGGGGCCAAACAAGGGACCACAAAAATTTCTGGGGGGGGGGCATGCCCCCCGTGGAAACGCCACTGCCTCTAATCCCAAGTTTGTCCGTCTGGGCCCACAAGTTTTTCTCTGTTTTCCTCTGTCACACCCATCTACGTATATATATTCTTCTCACAACATGGCAAGCAAATCTCGTTTTTTATTTTATCATTTCGTCAGTCAAAACTTTCAGGTGACTAACTCTTTCAAACATTTTTTCACTGCTTATTGCTAGCTCCGACTCATTTTCCGGATTCTTCTTTAACACAAAATTTCATAAACCATGAATTGTGTTAACAATCGTTTTGCTTAAAGTCCAAGCTCTGCTCCCACAACCTACTGCTGTAAAGATGGAAGTTTGATTTTATGCAGCATTGATTTTAAGTTGAGGTTTACACTACTTCTTGAAACTCTTACAGGATTCACTTTTCGTCTTCCCAATTCTTCCTCTTCTTCTTCGCATTTTCTGTTCTTTGAATCCAGCTTCCAAGAGATTTGTATTCTTTCACTGGTTCTAATTTTGTCGTCTAGCTTTATTACACACTCAACCCGATAATTTGTATCTATCAACAATATACTCTGTTTTCTTCGCATTGAGGTGCATTTCATATTCTAAACATTTTTTGATTGAATACATTTTAAAATTTCTTGTAGGTCTTTCATATTTTTTGCAAAAGCTATGACATCTGCAAATTTAACATTATTGGTGTTTTCTCCATCGATAATTAACCCTTTTCTAGATCACATATACAAGTTGAACAGCATTGGGGAAAGTATACAGCCTTGTGTGATGTCTCTTTTTGTTTCAATATCTTCAGTTGTTCCATTGCTGCTTTTTACAATAGCCGTTTCCTATCCGATTTGCAATTATTTTAAGTTCCTTATTAGGTATTCCAGTTCTCTTCATAATTTCTCTATTAGCCTTCTATGCTGTTTGATAACCTTATTTCCATCCGCAATTTTCGAGAGCTTTCAACGACGCAATTCATAGAAACTTTCATATTCAAATAAGTTCAACATGCTACTCATAAGTGTACATCAATTCAACTCTACAAAATTGACAAGGAATAAGACTCCCAGATTGATATTAACCACAAAGAAAATATTATATTATAGGACCACTATAATGACCTTTTTGTATATTCTTCTATCTTTTATTTCTAATCTTAAGGGGTTTATCATATCTTAGGTGATTAGGTTCTTTTATCTTTCTATTTTATCTTTCTATATGTCTTATGATTTCAATTCTTCACATTTTAATCCAAGCAGACTCTTAAAAATTTTCATTAATCTATTTACATGAGTTTTGCTAATAGATTGATGTTGATTTTGCCTGGCTCATACATTTTAGAATCAGAGCCAATTTAATAGCCTTTGATGGGGAAATATCCGATGCTTATGTGGAGCCGTTACAACTTAATCTGTAAGATTAAAAGCATTTTGAAGTGCACGTTTAAGTTATTGGATGGAAATTCTTAAAAGAACATTGTATAGAAGAGCGTTTACACAGAATGGAGGCTTTATTATTATCTTTTTTAATATTTTTTTCTTCAATGCCTTACCCCATTCTAATGCAGCGAAAACAAATGCGGACTGTTTTCTGATGCCACTTCACTTTATCTTTTCAAAACAATTTTTGCCCGGTAGCATCAACTTTCTTTTAGTTTTTGGGTTTTGCATAGGAACAATCTGCATAAAGCCAGCAAAGTTTGCAAAAGAGTGGGAACTTAATGGTTTTTGCTTGCCTGCGCCAGCCACTAAGATGTGACAGGACAAAATTGATATTTTAGGCCACGCCCATTATTGGCAGTAAAGCCCTTTTACTTGCGAAGAATTCTCATTCTATCGATAGGAAAAACTAAGGATTAACTTGAGGTTCCATAAAGGTAGTTTCAGAAGCATGGAATCGCATCGAAAAGAAAAGTTTACCGAAATGTTACCTCCCCAAAACTTTCCTATCGGATTTAGGCGATATAAAAATCGATTCTGTCGTGAAGGCCCTAGCCTGTCTCATGGCTGGTTTAAGAACACCAAGCTATGAATAAAAAGTGCCACTTTACAAAGGGCCAAGTAGATGTAACAAGTGCGGTGTAACAAGTAGATGTGAAATTTATCATTTGCCATGCCAAAAGAAATCTTCTTTCAAATATTGTTTCACCTCCCTGTTATTCTAGATGATTTTAATTTTTCCTTAGTGACGAAATGACATTTCGGAGCTGAGAGGAAATGCATTGCATCTTGTTTCAATATCATATAGAAGTCAAAGAAAAACAGAAAAGTATGTGAAAATATTATTTTAAAAAAAGCAATCCAGCATTAGTATTAGAATATGAAGCATCGAAACAGCGCCACATCGTTCATTATCTGAACAGTCCATCCAGCATCGTGCTTTCTTCTATCTTACCACCCCCATCGCCGACGACTGCTTCGCCTAAAGACAATAATTCATTTGTAAACAATCTTTTTGTGATGCAGAATTTAAAAATACTTAAGCTTAAGTATGATTCAAAATGTTTCCTTTCTTCAAAGCCATTTTTCTTTTCATTCTAACTGATAAACTTAGGCCATTATTTCTATGCATTAACTTCTAAAGAACTTTAATTAAAAATTTGATAAAAAAAACGTCATTTCATTTACAGTAGCAGTTTTTAATTCAATAAGAAACACTGTAAAGAAGAGGATACATGATATTCGGTCACTTTTATAGCCGGGGGCGTCACACCCCCTCCCCCAATAGTATCTCAATAGGAAATTTCCGGTAAAATCCGTTCGGTGGAAGAAACGCTTTAGGTATTTTAAAGACCTTCATGTCATAAAATCAATAAAGGATCAAGCAAAGGTAGTTGCTCCCTTGGTTGAATATGATATTCCTTGATATGAATGAAGGTAAACAAACTAATGATTTGAATATTTGAAGATTTCTTGTTGACACTAAAAAGAACAATCCAGGCCCTCTTTAGGTAAAATTGTGTCTTGTGTCCATTTCCCCTAAAGTTTCTCGGTAGAAGCGTCAACTGCAATTCACTATGAGCTCCAGATGCTAAGATGGAAAGAGGGATCTAAATTGACAACCAGTGCTGCTTGTTACCTAGCTTCAGAAGTAACTGACAACATGGTTCTTCTCAAGACCACGGCGAAACTGTACCAGTTGTTTTTATCTGCTGTTCAATTTGTTTGCAAAAAAATTATTTTCAATAGGATTAGTAGGATTGCTTTAGTGAAATGTGCTTGAAAGAGTGCATTTTCCAGAGAACTAGAAGCATCAAAATTCGAAAATTTCCTGCTCATTCGGCGGCAACCATGGTGCCGCCTCGGGTAGTAACTATATCCTTTGCCCGTTCCGATATAGAGATTTGACAAAACTATTAGGAAAATTCCGTTATTATCAAATTAAAATGAAAGTAGCAAATTATATACAGAGATAAATTGATAAAATTCATTGCAGAGGTTTGTGACAGCAACTAAAGAATTTCAGGCAAATATTTTTGAATCAGATAAATTTGTAGTCCACCAACCCCCCCCCCAACAAGGCTTGCCTCGCGACGGCCCTGTTTATAGCAATATATTATCTTCTTTATTTGCTTCCATTTTTTCCAACGGCTGAAAGGGTTTGCGCAGGAGTGTAGTGCTATAAAAATAACAGGGGGAGGGGCTGTCCCGCCAATCACTGCGAAAGACAATAACAAAAGTTGAAATTCTCCTTTTCTATTTTCTTATCTTTGATTCAACTCAACCAGCCCTCTGGCACATTTGACAGTCGGATCATAAGATTCTGCGGCCGGATTACAATATCTGGATTCTTTATGCTCACTGAGAGTCGTGTGTCTTCATAACCTTGATTTACACTAACTGAAAATCTAAATGCAGATTCGATTTTTAATCATTCCAGGTTAAACCCAGCTGCGTTGACACAGCATCGATTCGATGTAACAAGAGAGAGTGGTTTGAAGCCGGGTTGCTTGGTATTGTATGCATAGGCGTAAACTTAGGGGGGGCTATGGGGCTTCAGCCCCTCCTGACGAAAACCGAGGGGGGCTGCAGCCCCCCCCCCTGGAAAATAAGTAAGTGCTTTACGAATTTTTAGATTAGTTTGTTATATTATTGGTTTCACGCATAAGATTTGTTCCATTAGATAATTGCGTTTACAGCAAAATAAAGTATGAAATTATTGTGAACATAAGGTCAGATCCAACTCGAGGCCAATCCTTCAGAGAGGCTGGAAGCATCAGAGGAAAGCAACGTGCGATCTTTGGTGACGTGATATTAGCTATGGACAAATTTGTTTTAAGATTTGTCAATTGATGAACTTGTTGTCACCTTCATATCAAAAAATGCCGTGAGAAAAGAGTACATTTTGGGTGCCTAAATAGAACTGATGATGTCAACCTAAAGAAACTGATTAAGATTTAAAAATAAACTTTCAATCATTTCATTTGTGTGTTTCTTCTTCCTCGATAATGAAAAATGCACGGAAAAATCACCTTTAAGCCCTTAGCTAATCCACTTTCTATCCTGTGACATCAGCAGCTGCCATTAGGAATTGTCATTAATTTTTTAGCCCCCCCCCCCTGAAAAAGATGCAAGTCTACGCCTATGATTGTTTGCGTATAAGTACGCAAATGAAAAGAGGAAACGATTGATGGAAGTTCAACCAAGGTTCAACCCTGTTTTGCGGGCACCCGTCAAACTTTAAAACTGCGGCTGCGTTTGCAATACAAATGTGATATCCGAGTTCATTCAATAGATCCGAGCATGGACTAGTTAGCTTAGTACACTAGGCTATAAAGATTACCTTCTGCTGCTCTCTGGGGGCTTCATGTTGTCATAGCAACGGTTTCTTGGGCATTTTGGGCACACCCTGCGTTGAATTTTATGGCACGTGCGCGGCCCTCTCTGGAATTTGCATCGGTAACATCGCTTGCATCCGGCACAATTTTTGCCAGGTCTAGGATCGCCTGAATGAAGAAGAAAAACGTTTTCAAAAAAAAGGTGCAGGTGTTTGCCCATTTCCCTTGCAATATTTAGTTATTTTCTTAGTTTCCCTTTTTCTTTCCCCACCCCCCCCCCACATGTACTGAAGCTCTTCCGGTGTCTCTTAATTCATTTGATATTGATGTTTAAAAATATTCTATACGCGCATTTTTTTTAAAAGAAACAGGTTGCCGGTAGGCTCAATTTTATCGAAAGTTACGAAAGACCTAAATTGAAACATCCAAATTGAAACAAGCTAAGAAACATGATTTTCAGTTTTAATTTTCGTTGAGTTGACACTCGAAACAGTCTTGACATTGAACATCATTGTATATTGCAACACTACAATCGACATGCAGTTTGCATTCATTATCAATAAATTGGACATTTATCAATAAATCGAAAACGAATTGGGTATTTATCAATAAATAACGTTTCCATTTAAGAATTTATTTTGACTTCAACCTGACATTGATTAAGTTCAATGAGCTTAACTGTTTACAGATCTCAACAGAGTTAGTCATTCTAGGAAAACCAAATTCCTTGATCACTTTGTTAGTTTATCTCTGAATGTGAGTGAACTATTTACTTTACCTTGGAAGCACTTTTAAAAAATTCGTTACCTAAGAAATTCAAGAAACATGTAAGAATCTTTTGATAGCAAAATGGCCAGAAAATTTTAGAAACTGCCTACCAGCACCGGACCTTAGTTTCTTATAACAAAAAAAACGTGGAACAAAACTATTCTATCATATCCACCTCTGATGTTTCAAACTATCCTGCAATCAGTGCCACAAAATGTCGGTTTTCACGGTCGAACTAGGCCAGTTCCCTCTCCCATTTGAAACAATGCTGGTTTCAACTCTGTGTCATTCTACAAGTGCTTACTTACCTTCAGTTTCCTCTTCGAGTTCTTCATCAAACTCGTCGTCATCGTAGTTGCTTAAGGTAGAGTCAGATAGTTCCGTATCTTTTGCCCAATTGTCAATGTGTTCTGCCGCCACATCAGCTGCATGAATATAAGAAAGAGAGGCACGTTGAAGATTGATCAACTATAACATGAAATAACCATGAAGTTCCCGAGGGCCCAATCCAGTGGTCTATTTCTATCAAATTACCAAGGGGGCTTTTGCACAAGGTATTGCTAAAACAATAGCAAAAGCAGAAATTGGTTAAATTTTGGCCCCCATAGCACTGCACCCCTGAGAGAATCACTCTGTGAAAATATCGTACACCTTTAGTGGAAAACCTTTATTTATTGAAAGTCCGTAGAAGTTTGCTTGGTAGAAATATCGCACGCCTTTTGCAGGAGTGATGTGCCCCTCTAAATGTCCATCATTTATTGCACAAATGCATTTGTAGTTAAAACCACTGTTATTTTCTCGACATTTTTATTATCAGGCATGCAATGCAGTAGTAGAGGTATCTACAGGGGCGATGATACGGGGAGTGTATGTTATTTTTGGCTGCTTTTCCGGCAAGCCTGATAGTCCTGGCAGGAAATTCACCCAAGAAAGTTTCTAGCAACACCTCTGGGCATCTCCAGAAATATGTTTAATGTAAGAATTACAATTTCATGTTGGTAAAAGTTTAAGAAATGCAAGTGCTATATTTTGTATACTAAAAACTAAAAAAATATTTAGACGTTATTCAATAATTTGACGTTCTCACTCACCTTCAGCATCTACCATCAGAAGAATCACCAGGAATGAACAAGCAAAAAGAAGCTTCATCTTTGTTCAGAACCTACCAGAACAAGACCCGAGAGAAGAGTGAAGACCAACACACAGAATCAGAAGATTTGCATTTATACCGCCCGCGATAGCCGTTTGTACGGCCCCTTTGTATGTAATTTGACGAAATTACCTTTAAATTATTTGATAATATGTTTTGTAGAATGACAATAGTAAAAGGGTCAAAGAAATACGAGTTTTAAAAACGTGATTAAGGTAAGGCTGAAAGGCGACGCTTTTCGCTTGCCATTTAAATCTCCCATTGGTAGGACAACGTGGTAGACTTTTGTTGCGTGTCCAATTGGCTAGTTTTCAATGATAATAAGAGCCCTGAAAAGGCTTGAGCAGTTGACTCTTACGGGACATAGTCCACAATCTGAATCCCAAATCATATTTTGAAAGTGACCCAGTACTGGTCGCAAAACGTGTCTCAAACCATGTAGCAAAGGATGCGAATGTTTTTTAAATGGCGAAGATGTTTTGAATTTCTGCCCTGCAAAATTGTTTAGGAATGGAATGAATAGACCATTCCCGGGTTCACCATAATGGAAGTACTTTGTTCTATAGCAAGTTCCAATTGCTCGGGTTGGGCAAACAGGGGCGCCCATACAAGGGGCTGGAGTGGCAGCTGTCCCTCTTGCCCCTTTCAAAGAGGGGCAGAGGGGGCAAGAAGTGCCCTGAAATATAAGAAAATACTATAGAATCTTCTCGATAATTGATGACCACTTTGACTACTCTCGTTATGTTAATCGAGGGGTGATTCACGTAGCGTACGAGATTTTGCCTAAAACAAAAGGAATTTCTGGGGATTTTCAGATAAAACAATAGGATTTTCACGAAAGGTGTACGAGATTTTTTTAGAGTGATTTGCCCCTCGATGTTAACATCTACACTCCCTTCACGAAAGTACCCGGACAGTTCGAAGGTCGATTGCGCTTTCAGACAAAAACAAATATAGGCTGGCGATAACGACTATTTAACTAAATGGTAGCAACTTTTCGAGAAACCCTTCCAAAATAAACCAAAGCATTAAAATGCTGCAAAATTTTTGCGCTTTTTATCCGATATCATTTTTTGTTAAAATGGGCCATTAAACAACACATGACACATGGTAATATTCTACCAGGTCATAAACGTTCTTCCAAAGCAGAAATATCATTCAGTGCAGGGCCATGAAACCATATTATTTCTTTACCGCTGAAAGTCTTGCTGAATAGTGTGGTGGAATTACGATTTTACCCGGTGTATCAAATGGACGACTACAGAAAGGCTTTTTGCACTAAAGATTTCGCATAATTTGTGCACGTAATAACTGATTTGATAACAGCACACTAAACAATAGATTTTTGTGTAAGCTCTCTCTCCAATAATCGGAATTGGCACAACTGATGAAAAATAATTTGGTTTTTGTAGGTTTCATTGGTATACGCTTGTTTTTAGCACTGTTTGTGCTCTAAAAACAAAGTATATCGTTATCCACCCTAAAAAGACTTAAACCACCTTTATCTTGGAAAAGCCCCCCAAACGGCCTGATCAACATTCACATTCGAAATCTACACCAGAAACTACCCTAGAAAAAGTGGTTCCGGTAAAGTCTCCTTCTAGGTGGTAATGCTCCCCCTCCAGCCACTGGACTTTAAGGTTTAGAGTTTCTATTTGGGTTAGGTGGAGCAACTTGTGCCGATGCACCAATAGCCCAATGTTGCTTCCTGTGATGAGGGAATGTAGCCTCAATGCCTGATTTGATGAGGGATGTGGCAATGTTATTTCTGAGAGAACCACTTTTTATTAAAGTGAAAACATTCCTCTGTTGATGATATTCTCCCGAGTAAAAAACAACTTGCTTTAAAGTTTGCCCCCCCCCCCTCAGGTATGGTTCTTGCTCAAGTTTGCCTACCCTAGCCGATATCTAGAGCTACGCGGTTGTCTCGATTGTATAGACGGCTACTGTATTCATTGCGGTCTTTGCCCCACTTGTGTCATGGCGTCATAACATGTTTACTGCGTTGGTGCAGAGTACAGTTACTGTTTACTTATCTAATATTTGTAAGATTTCAAGCGCCTGGTTCCCATTAGACCAACTCTAGGTGGTGCCAGAGAATTCAGCATTTAATCTCTGAAAAATAGTTCGAATTGCCCCCTTATCGATCTACAAAACTTTCTGCGGTTTCTTGAGGCTCTGGTAGCCGGGGTAGTCCCATCCGTGTCGGATATCTTTGAATCCAACCTTATATTCTTAGGAAACTTTCGTTTTGAACCTGATTATATTCTTAACGTATTCTGGTCTTTTCAAATCTGACATGGTTTCAGGGTAATATTGCAAAAACAATGCCTTCCGCTGAATAAAAACGATGCTTTTGAAAAACGAGATTTGTCAGTTCTGCGATTCTCTGTTATGAACACTGCTGAAAGATGAGACACAAATGTGCGAATTGAGGCTGAGCAATATTATAAACCACTGTAACAGGCAAAAAAGACATAGTGATGAAAACCATTTTATTTCTCAACTTTTAGCTCTGTTATTTGATAGATTTGAAGAAATCATATTGTTAATTTTGCTGGCTTTATGCATAAATTGAAGAAATCATATGTCCTATGCATAAATTAAAATTACGAAAACCAGACAGGTTGAAAACAAAGCTGATACTACCGGCCAAAAATTTCTTGAAACGATAAAGTGAAGAAGTGGCATCAGAATACAAGTCGCATTTGTTTTCGCTGCATTGAAAAAGGGTAAAATTTTGAAGGAGAAAAACAAATAATTGTAATACGTTTCGCGGTCTGAGGACTTTTTTCCAGAATCAAACCAAAGAACAACGATAAATTTCTCGGAACAACAAGATATGTATCCACAAAATACTTTTACAAGTAAATCTAAATTTTAGACTAATCAGAGAACCTTTCCCAAGCGCTCTCATTAAACGAACTGAACTAATTGTGTTAATACATAATTGTGCAACATAATGGTATGACTCAAGGGGCAAATAAATGATACGGTAAGGTCTATTTAAAATCTGCAACGTTAATAGGATTAAAAGATATAATGCGGAGGAAATAGATGTGCTACTGAGTTAATTAGAAAAGGTGAACGTAGAAAACAAGCAAAATGAGATTCGAAATAAACCTCCTATGTAACTTTGTTGATAGCAACCATTAAACTAAAATGCTGTTGCTGAGCAACACAAGTAAGGCGCGGCGGTGCGGTCGCTGCGAGGCATAACGTGTATTGCGAGGCAAAGTACAAAGCAGTATTACATAGTAACCAGCCCCTTTGTGTAAATGCTCTTCGGAGTGCTCCAGTATCTCCCTGTCAGAATTTATTTTGTAGTTTGCAGGTTGAACAACATTTTATATTCATGCTAATTTAGAGGATTTTCGATTAGGACCTAAATTTTATTATACTGATTCATGAGCAGCTCGCCCTGAAAGAAGGGTGCGTTAGTGGTAGCGTTATTAGATTAATTATGATACTTTTGACCTCGTATCACAAAAACTGAACAAAAACCAAGAAAAGCCTCTAAATGCACAAAACCAGCTAAATCTGTTGTAAACTGGCGGATAAACAAAAACTGAAAGTTTTACTGTTGTTTCTAGAACTATAGTTCTAGAAATATATTTTGGAGTGTAGATATAGAAGGAAACTGTGATCTGCAAACCAAGTATAAGTCAATTTGTCTGCACAAATTTCAGGTCGCCTTATGTTTCAACCCATCGGGAATTGCGTACGAAGTACTAAATCACTTGATGGCAGGGTTGTGTATATATCAAGGATTCAAGACATTTAACTCTGAGGCCATCCATAGAGATACTCTGAGGAAAAGTCTGCCGGTTTTCTCTAATTGAATATTTTTGATTTCTAAACACTAAACACGTTTTTCGACCAATTTTTCTTTATTGTTTCAATTTTGCTAAAATGTCAAGTCCTGTGTGAGGTTCACCAAGGATGTTTATCGGGCCCAACTCTCTTTGCTATTCTCGGTTGTTTCAACGATAAAAAACACTACATCAGGTGGGATTACAATTCAAAATACTAATATCAAGTTTTATTTCATGCCAAACTGTGTTGTTGAGACACAACATATTCCTGTTAGAGTGTTCAACACGATCCAAAACGAGAATTATGACTTTTGAGTCTTGATAGTCAACTTCAGCTTTGCATTAATAAAAATTTCTCAGTTGGTTCTTTGACAAGAAAGAAACGCTAACATATAAACCAAATCCGACTGGAAAGCAAAAAACACATGGGGTCAAGATGTAATTCCCTGTTTCATAAACACACATTAAAATAAAGAAGAAACACAAAGCAACTTACATTGCCCTCATTTCCCTCAAATAGTTAGGTAATTGAGTTGCATCCAGCTTCTTTCTGTCTCTCTTTCTGACCATAACATCTTACCTTGAACTATGTCTCCGAGGTCTGCGCTATGAAGAGTAATAAACTTTTGAAATCAATCAACTTAAAAGCATGTGCATACGCCCCAGGCGCTAAACGAACATTTTGTACGCATCATTTACAATTTGGGAGAGGTAACATTTACAATATCCTCAGCATGGGGGCATATCAGAATTATACAGGGGGTCTTACTGTTAGAAAGCGAGGGAAATCTACTCTTGTAAATAGCCTGGGAGATTTTCACTGAGGCAAAAGGATTTCTAGGGGCTGGCCCACAAAGCAATAGGATTTACACCAAAAGTGGATGAGACATCATATAATGATTGCTCCTTGTAAAAAACGGTAGTGTTTTCCTGTGTTTTCCAAATCATGGCTTTTACATGCTTAGTGACATATTTCAGTCTTGCGGAACATAATAGGTATCCAATGCTGGCGATCTTCGGGTAATCTATTAACTACAAAATTAAATCAATCTGTAATCAAAACTAAAGTGAAAGATTGAATCATTGTTTCCCAGCAACCTACAATACCTGCCAAAAGTCTTGGAACACTGACGTCAATTTTCAAGTTCAAAATCAATCATCCCCCTCTCCCCCACGGAACTATGTTGGTTTACTATGAAACGGGTTAGGAATTAAGGAAGCATTTTCTTTTGCGCTTCTTTTGTGATATTTCTCTAAATTATCAACATTGTTCTAGGGGGAAGGGGGCGGGAGTAGTAATCTTTTTTCGGAAAAAGAATGAAAGACATAAAATGCAATGCAAATTGCTGGGTGCTCCAAGTTCTTTTGGCATCACTGTGTCTCTTCAACAGCAACCTGTCTTACAAAATCTTTCATAACTGTGGTCTTTAAAGCTACAAGAATCTTAGTTTACATTAGTTTCAATCTGATTATTCAGTTTCTCACGGGTGTTAATCTTGCTTTACAAGCTACAAATTTTGTGTAAATAACTTAGATGCACGGCAAACAACAATTCCGGACAAAATTGTTGAGAAATATGCAATTTTCTACATTTGAATTCGAATCCCTCTTCCCACTGGATCAATATTGCATTGTAGATCTGTAAAAAACACTGACAGTTACTCTTAAAGCAATTTTTTGAACACTTCTTTGACTTCTAAATAACGCAGTGATCTCTGTAAATCTTTTGACCCTGCCCATCATGTTTATATTTTAAAAAGACTAAAACATCAAGGAATGATAGGAAATTTTTTAAATTCATACAAGTCTCTTTATTGCAAAGTCAAATTCAGTCAGTATACATCGCTGGAGGCTCATTTATTGAAGAGAGAGAGAGAGTTCATTCTTTGCAAGAAGGGGGATCGTCAAGGGTGCTTTTAAGGCCAATTTTTTGCTTTGCTAAATGATAATTTAGAAGATTATTACTAACAGACACATAAAAAGGCAACTCTTGAAAAAAATATTGGCACCAACACCTGAAGAAATTTCAGAAATAGTTCAATTCATTATATAATTATTAGGTTATACAAAAGCTCAAAATTAACAAAAAAATAATTGTATTTGATAAAAACAACCATAAGTATAATGAGACCTTAAGCTGGAAACTTTGTGAACACAGAACAAAAACCAGTGTTACACGATCAAATTTTTCCAAGAACTTGTCTCGAGTCGTCCTATGCTGTGACTCTGTAACTACGTCCTAAATTGCTGGCCGACTGCATCGGAAAATAGGTAATTTATTTGTTGTGCAATGCAGTTTTTGTTTTTGTAACTCAGTGCTACTTTTTGCAACGATCAAGGTAATTTCATGGCCATTGCACCAAGTAAAATGGAGTTTCGCAACTCACGAGCTAGTTGGTTTTAATAAGCTTTATTATAGCTATTAGTGTACGTTTGCCAAATTAAAAGAAAGTAAAGAAACAAATGATGCAATCTGGGCTTTGGCGCCAGGACAGCGAGTTACTGCAAGTTTTCAAACATGTGCTAGAGAAAACCTTACCAACGAAGCACCAGGACTGCATCCTTTTGCAGCAACATCCTAGAGACTTGTCTGTTGAAAACTCATTGAATGGTAAATCCCAATACTTCAAATAATCTTCCTGCATTTCAGCAACCTTCCCGCAAAACGAAACGAATTTCATAATCGAATATTTTCCTAAGGCTTACCGTTTAAACCAACTTTCTCATTCTCGTCACGGCCCAAACAGATTTCGACCGCCAAGACTGCGACGTAAGAATACCAGATATAACCTCTTGGGACTCGGCTTTGGTCATACATTGGTTGTTTTCATGATGCTTTGCTCCCATGGGCTACGGTTTCTATTGTTCCTTCCAACGTGACGAGCATCGTGTTGGGACATGAAATCGTGCTCCAACTTTCTACAACATCTTGACATAACAAATTTGAGTTATACAGAAGGCTTTGCGCATCAGTTTGTTTTTGACTTGATCGAAATTCGCTAGTTAGTCATTTCTAGATAAACAGTAAATCCAACCAAGAAGAAGCTAATGATTTATGAACTTACAGCCTGCCTTCCTTTGATAAAGAGCCAAATATAAAGAATCTATATCTTCCTGACAATTCCTAAGGACAATCCATAACGTTTATCCTCGAATGCCCCCCCCCCCCGTGTAAGTCTCCATCTAAAAAGCTCCCTGATTAGCCTCAAGGGGGCGGGGCAAACGAGAGGTTTTACAGTACATCAGACCAAATAACGAACACCAAGGCCCCGTTCACACGGGAACGCAATCGTTCCGTTCCATTTTTGTTCCAGTTTCTGGAACGAAAAAGTATACTGTTCACATGGTAACGGAACGACTGCGTATCGATTTTTGTTTATGTTTAGACGGGAACGCAATCGTCCCGTTCTGCAATTTGCGCGCCAAAATAAGCAAATTATTTTTAATGCGCATGTCCATAATGGAGATAGATTTCATCATCTCGATTTATCGCTGAGCTATCTCTGAATTTTTTAAACAGTTTGAATAAATGGAGAATACAAAAGCGCCCCAATATAAGCGAGCTCGTGGGAAAATGGAAGCCAACCCTAAAAGGAAGGAATTTCAATGTTTGCAGAATGGTGTTGAATCTTTTAAATGGACTGACGAGATTCAGCCCCATGGTGTTTTTGAAATCCTCCATTTTCTTCGCTGAGTTTATTATTGTCACCTTTTCCTTCCCTCAACAACAACACAGACGCATGCGCCAAAGGCAAAACTCTTATCATTCCATTTTCTGGACCAGTTCTGCGCGTTCACACGGGAACGGAACGGAACGGTTGCGTACCGTTCCACTTTTCGTATGACTTATTTTATCGTTCCACTTTTTGGAACGGAACGATGTCGTTTGAAGCGCTCCCGTGTGAACACAACCCCTGAGCGTTACGCTTTTCGGAACGGATAAGAACGGAACGGAACGATTGCGTTCCCGTGTGAACGGGGCCCAAAAGACGAAGACCAAAACAAAACACTGAGTCACTCGTATCGTTTCCTCTTTCTTAACTGCTTATAAACAATCTAAGTGCTTTGGTCATTACGGTGCCGCTCACCAAACGAACAATTAATCAACAGTGATTCAAATCGCTATTAACATAAAACTATTTTACAAGTCATATTTGATTCGAACTCATCTCGAAGTTTTTACCATTACTGGTAACTGTAACATCTGATATACAATATACTTCTTTGCCTACAATCACCCTCTTCTCACACACGCGAAAGACGCAGAAGAACGCGGGAAGCATTCCATTATGATTCCAGAGTAATTTTAAGGGCCTTGAATTTCAAACAGCACGGAACGCGTTTCTGTGTAAATACGTGCAAAATAATTGGAAACTTGCATGGGTATTGTTAGCTTTCCGTTGCATCAAACGCCATAGAACGCTAAAAATATTCTGCCGTTCAGTGACAATATGGGGGCACGATCAATTGATGGGGCTTAAATATAGAGTATATATACTGTGAACTATCTGCGTCAGTTCCTACATTGCGTTTAATATATATAAACCGATATCATAGGAAAAAATGGAATGAAAAGTTTACTTTAGGCCTAACAAATTTCAAAATGGTACGTTAATACTGGGGGGTGGGGGGACTGGGTTGTCGATTCTGTTGAAAATTCACTAGGGCTAACAACATTATAACAAAATTGCGTTAAACGCGTGAAGATTCAAGAACTGAATCAAGGCTTTGATAATAATACCAAGAATGACGCTTTTGAAGAACATTCAAGTTGAGGTTCTCTACAATTGATTTGCCGATAAACACAATTCTCTGCGGCATTCAGGGAAAGTACGAACACAAGAAGATATTTACCTTGAAAAGACAGACCCTAAGATACAAACAATCAACTGATATGCCGATGAAATGGAACGACGTCTGCATGCGAGACGCAAATGCAACTACACGTTGTGGCGATTAGAAAAGTAATAGAATCTGGGCTATGACGTCACATATATGCTGAATGTTAAAATACCGAATAGGTGGCAGGCAAGGAAACCTGCTAGCACGGAAAACTACTTCTGAAGATGTTATGTCCAGTAAAATCTGAATCTGTACAAAGTCAAAAGTTTGACATGGAAAAAATTGCTGGCTAGAGGTATAGGGTTGCCGCAGACAAAACTGTTTAGCCTTCGGCCAAGTCCAACATGAAAATCGGCCTCAATTCCGAAGCAGAACAATGACATCAGTGCTTCTCGAGAATAATTGAAACCTTTGCATAATTCACCACGACAATTGAATTGAATGCCCAACATTTAAGGACTGGTACAGTATCACCGAGCTTACAACAAGTACATGTCTCATCGTCCATTAACGCGCTATTTCCGCAAACACACATCGAAAGGCATTTGATGCTCTCTGCAGCGCCAAGCACGGCAATCGCGCATGAACACATGACTTAAAGTGATCGAGATTCGAACTCCTCCGGCAAGGCATCCCAAGTACCCGAGCAGAGATAAAATCATTCGACAAACTTTCGAACGAATGACACTGAAATTCATGATTTTTCGAAACATCCACCAAATCATGTAATGACTTTTTCTTTAAATTTATCATTTGAGCTATTTACAGTATGTTTTACAGGAGATGAATGTTTTGGCAGCGCGTTGCCTTTGTCACAACTCTTTACAACAGTTCCATTTTGGTTCTTCATAGTTCTGGGCTCCTCCGCACTCGAACAGTTATTCTCTTTCTCGCGCTCCTTCCCACAAGCTAGTTCTTGCAGTTGCTTTTGCACTTTGTCAATTGTTTGCTCAGGTGGTTTTTTCAACAACAAAGAGTCCGATTTTCTCCTTTCGTCCCCGTGTTTCGCTTCCAGCAACCCATTCTCCTCGCTGTCGTCTAGAAATAATAAAATATTTTGAAGCATTTGAAACTGTGTAAAAACTAAATAAAGAATAGCAAAACCATGTATTTACAATAGATGCGTAGAAACAAGCTACAACGAATTTCGCCACAATAACGAATCGAAAACAGCAGCCACAGCCACAGCAACAGTCACAGCAAAAACAACAGCAACAATAACAACAGCAACACAAACATCTATCGTGCAAATAACTGCTTTGATTCGTAAACGGAGAGGCAAGCCATAGAAAAGCAAAAGCCTTAATGCAGTCAACAGATCGTGTTAAAAATGGTTTTGCGTAGATCTGCCTTAAGGCTACGAAAACATGGAGACCTTCTCTATTCTGTTGGTCTGAAAGCCTTAAAGCGCCTGCATTCATAACAATTGTGGAGCGATTAAATGCCTTAATAAAACGATATAGATTCAAACCAACTTACCTACACTGTTTTCCAGTTGCAAACTAACCCTTCGTAGTGAGGCCATGTTAGGAGACGATTTCGGTGACGTTGTCGTGCTAGGAGAGCACTGAAGTTTGTACCAATCCCTATTTCTGTTTAGGTTATCCAGCAGCTCCTGCGCATCCGGATAGACAAGGTCGGCCCAGGTCTCCCACAACGGGTGCACGACGTAGTCAATGAACACGACCTAAACGATAGAAAGTCAAAATAAAAACACTTTCTAGTTGCATTCAGCGACCACACCCAGATGCGTCCTGTTTGACTACCATTCAAAGGAGGGTTTAGAAAGTTGTAGGTAGTAGACTGAAGGAAGGATGAACAGTTGTAGGTAGCAAATGATATGAACAAAATAATACTGTTTCAGTTTGACTAAGCCTTCATCTCGCATAAGCCGAGGCTTGAATAAGCCATATCCCTCCAAGCACGCTCAAAAGCCATATCCCTTCATCTTGATTCAGCCTCCTTCTTGATGAAGCCTTCCACTTCAACAAGCCCCCTTCTTGAATAAGTCTTTCTGTTAAACAGGCCCTCTTCTGATTTAATCTCCCCGTTATCAAGCCACCCTTTTGAGTAAGCATCTTTCCGGATTATTCGAATAAAAACAATACTTGATAATGGAATTAGGCGTGAACAAACCTGGGACTTTGCAATGTTGGCATTGTGACGGTCCATCATCGGGCTGACATCCATGCCCTTTTCCCGTTCAATGTCACCCTTGTGTTTAAAAAAGAAATAACTTAGCATAGATCTAACAAAACGTACGCGACTTTCTACGAGCAAAGCTTTGAAAACCTGAACAACAATCGTAGATGATATTGTAGAAAATATGCTTAAAAAACCTGTCGTGGAAATTACGTAAATTACCTTTGTGAAATCCGTTAATGCTCAATAACTTAGTTCGGAAAGCAATTGAAGGTTTCTATCGGGCTTGGCTTCAATAAAAGCGCAATTTTGGAAGACGGCAACGCAAAATGGCATTAGTGACATATTAGTTAGGTCTTTCGAATAAACCTTTGACTAGCATTTTAAGCTCTGGTACATTCTAAAAAAAACTGGTAGGTTCTTTTCATATGACTGACCTGCGTGAAGAACTCCTCCATCAATCGATCGAGCCATTTCTGATAATGCCTAAGAGGCCTCGTAGGGTTGCTCAGATCTGAGCAATGAACCAAGCATTTGAGTATCTATGGTAGAAAGAAATATATCTAATTCGGAAAACAAGTAAACTGAAAACCTAAAATAGACACAGAAGCTTCGGCAATGTTGGGTTTTGAAGGGGGAGAGGATCTCTGTTCGAAGTCTCTGGAGGTCTTCATCCTTCTAGAAGTGGGCCAGTGAGGTACATATTGCACTCACGACCATGCTAGACTAGATTTCATCGTTCGTTGTAGGCCTTTCAGGTGAAACAGACCTTCTACTAATACTTCTCCATCAACCAAAAAACTACATAGTTCGTTATTGACAAGGTTTACTTAAGTATTGGTTGTTGCCTTGATGAAATTTTTATCACTGGAGAAGTTTGGGCAAACATGGTCTAGATTCGGTTGGTAAACAGACAAATAGGCAAGAACAGTGTGGAAAATGATTTTAGTTTTTCCTTATTTTGCAATCAAATGATGAACAACAATATAGTTTGTATGTTTATGTCATTTTGGAATAAACATTTTGGACATTCTAAGACGAGTTTTATTGTTCACAAAAAAAATAATAAATTTAACTACTGATAAAGATACAACAATAAAATAACATTGTCCAATCTTTAGAATGCAACACTTTGAATCTTAAATTTTCGTGACATCATTTAACAAAATACATTAAAAATGGGGTGGTGGGTGACAGTTCCTGTCGGACTAATTTTCCATGAAGCGAACCTAACACACTGCGTTCGCTTAAAAGACTAATAAAATATCAAAACGTGATTCTCACATGAAGCCGATCATTGAAGGCATCAAGAACCAAATGCTTCCCAACAACACTCTTCGTTTCTACCATCGTTTTGAGAGCGGCGAGTAGGCTCATATGTTTCGCATTGTCTGTCGCCAGAACCTAAAGAAAAAAACTTGAGTACTATAGCAAAATCTTATTTACATTTACAAAAAGTTGAGAATATCGTCACGCAGATGTGAGCGTAATGATGGCGTAAACATCATGTCAAAAAACTTTTGACATGTGCATAAATAAACAGACCCCACATGACACTGATGGGGGCTTCTTTGTTTGTCCCTTTTAAAGGAGACAGAGCAACAAAGAGCCTTTGCACGCCTTTAGTCGAGTTTCTGCCTTTAGTCAAAGTAATATGCCTCCTGTATAATGCCCTATTCTGTTTGGAAAAATTTCTGGAACTGGAAGGAAGCTTAGAAGACAAAGAAAGTCATGATCGTCATGAAGTCATTTTTGTAGATTCTATATACCACCACCGGAGGGGAAGACAAAACAGAAATTTTGTGAGCAGCGTTCGTTTAATGTGAAAAGTTGAAAATGTCTCTCATTAGAACACTGTCCTTTAAGTAAACTGTCTAGTCTTTCAGCCTATAGACTTCTTTCTTTACTCGCACCCGCCTGTTTTGCTTTGACTATATGCACGACCGTAAAGGCCCTATGTTGCTCAGGCCCTTTGAGCAAAATGTTCTCTGTGTCTTGCAAAGTAGATGCAGGAACAGAAGGCCTTTGCACCCGAAATTGATAACGTGGCTTTACGTGTTTATTGAGTTCCAAAGTGATTAGTAATTTATCAAAGTAATTTACAAAACCGCACATGCTTGAAACCAACATGAAGTGATTTAACAAAACGAAAATATGTCAATTTGCATTTTGGCGATTGGCCTTGTAAATCTGCCCATGAGGCTGGGACAATTATGAAAACAGTTCTTGGTTAAATCAAACGTTACCATTTCAATAGTCATTTTGCGCAGCATCTGTCGTTCCTTCTTTGACAGATTTTGAAAAATATCGCACTCTTCATGCTGCAGAAGCTGAAAGGCGACGGCAAGATGATGATTTTCTAGCACTGATTCGTCGTTGTAGATGATCGCCATTTCTGAGTCTAAAATGAAAGGGAATGATTAAAGGCTACGAGGATGCACAGGCATTTTAAGGTAGGGATGTATGGAGTTCTGATCAATCGAGGATGACGTTCTTAAGGTTGAATTTCAGAGAGTGTAAATAAAATTTAGGCAGTTAAGCAGCTCATCTTTCAAATAAAAACTTTAGTTAGAGTTAAAGTTAAAATGTTTGTTCAACTGGAAATGCAGAAGCCTCAATCACTCGCTTACTTGATAAAATCAACCTTCTCACTTGCAAAAAAACTTTAATCGACTAGTTTCATACTTTGCGCTATAAATCAACACTGCATGGATTTCGAAAATTAAATAAATGAAACTAATAAAGCAAATAAATAGAAAATATTTTATGTATTGAAGATGCTGATCGGGTTCAAGTATATTTTTTCATATTTTTAGGCCTTGCGAAATGATATGTCGAGTGCTGTGCTATCTTGAGTGCAGTTCATTAGAAAAAGCTAGGCGAATAGGGAACATAAAGTTACTAATATCAATGAAAACAAATGAAATTCGTTATGATAGATGTTGAAATTTAACTGTCCATAAAGAAGTAGAAAATGTGACCTACTTGAATCGACAAGAAATTGATTATTAACGCCAGGGTGATCAACATCGTGAACAGCGCTTGCAAAAATGGCGGCGAATACTTCGAGATCGCTGAAGACGCCCTAAAAATACAGAAAACACATCACAGTTAGATATGCCTTCAAAATGCTCAAAAATCGAAAGAAAAAGATTTCTAAGGATTTTTAGATAACACAACAGGATTTACACCTAAGATGTACGAGATTCACGTGGAGTGGCGCGCCCTCGATAATCGACGCCGTACAAGCAGAGCTGTTCATATTTTGGTGCAAAGAACAGGACAGTTCTGAGTTGCTACTCAGCGTTTCACACTAAATTTGATATCGGGCATCAGACAATAGTTCTCAAATGAGTCAAAGTTGAGTCAAAATAATAAAAAGTGTTGATGCAGAAAAACCCCATGTCTTTGTCAGGATAAAGCAAACACGCAAAAAGTACATGATCGTGAGACAATTTTGGATATGAAATAATGATTTACAGAAAAGTGGATGGAGGAGAATTCGTTATTTCTTCCACTCTTCGTGGTTGTAAAAATACTTTCTAGAGACGACGATTTTTTTTAAAAAATGGCATATTCTAACGTCATTTCGTTGTACTAAAGCTTTGAATATTGTCAATCAAGTCTTATAATTTTATTTCATAAACAAACTTGAACCAGACTGGAATTCTTAGTTGTTATTTAGAGTTATTGAATTTGGACCATATAAGCTGAGAGAACACTGTGAAATCCCCTTGAAAGTGCAAAATGGGTTAAATATGGGACAGATTTGATGAAAAATAAAAGAGCCTGTGCCTATATGGCCATATCCCAATTGTAGGTACTTTATGACCTCTCTCGGGTTATTTGGCCCAAATTCCAGAATTCTTAAAAGTATACTTAATGTGACGTCATTACTTAAGAACTCTATTTGCATCTCACCTGAAAAGCGGTTGCCGAGAGAAGAAAATGTGTTGCTTGCGTCACATCTGCCGCATGCGTAGAGTTGTGGAATGCAACATCTTTTAGGTAATGATTCTGAGAAAAGGGAAACATTTGGTTCAGTTTCTTAGAAGCATTTAAAAACTGAAATCTGCAGGATATATAAAGAGGGAAGGTCGCACAACATCGCTAAAATCAATTCTAGCCAGTTTCCATCACCATTCCTTAAGAAAAATCAAATGTAAGTTCCACCAATGATCACTCAACGGATTTCGATAAAGGATAGATAGACCGTATAACTCATTATTTTTTACTTCTCGCCAAGACAATATGTTCTCTATTGCGATTCTGAAGATCTTCTCAAAAATCGTCTAGTGGAGACCAGTCTTGAAATTCAGTTTCAAAATCCAAATCTCCTTCTTCAGGACGTTTATAAAAGGGACTACAGTCAATGTTTCATATACATACCTCTACAGATGACATATAGCTGACAAAAACAGACGGCTTGATTTTGAAAGTTTTCAAGAGATCTCTCGTCTGCAAAGAAAACAGTCACAATCAACTGATACTTATGGACCCAGTCAGTTTTTTAGCAATGACAATAAACTTCTGACAAACAGGTATACAAATTGCGACATTAAGGAAAAAAATATCAAGTTTCTTCTAGGCCTAACCTTAACATAAACATAAACAATTTTACATCGTAAGTAATATTCTCTGATTCTATGCATAGCAAATATTATTGGTAAAACGCAGACAAATAGAAAATTTCATGACAAGTGTTATCAGAAGTTGAGATTTGTTGAGAGCTAAAAATTTCTTTCTAACGACTTTCAACGGCAACGTTCTGTTTATAATGAACTTTTGTCAGAGACACTACTTGCTCACTTATATAAATCAAGAGTTATCTGTTTATAATACACTCGTTTTTTATAAAAAAACCAAGCTTATGGTAAGCAACCATACCAAACGCTAAAGAGCTACATTTTATAAACAAAAAACATAGCATAAGGTAACATAAAAAAGAATACCAGTCACAAGTCACAAGGAGTTCTACTTCTATTCATCTACCTCAATTAAAAAGGAAATAGGTGCCTAATCGTTTAAAGAATCACTTCAACCCCATTTTATACACTCTCCAAACTGAATATAATTAAGTAAATATTACCAAAACCGTAATAGAAAATTATTTCATGCATGAAACCGTTACACTCATTCTTTAAAAGAAACTGGGGTTGGGATTAAGCTTTATAATTTTTTTGTTGCTTTCAGTACATGACGTTTCTTGAAGGTTTCCTGCATACCAAATGCTATAGAGTACCGTAAGTGTGACGTCATAAAAAAATCTTATTTTAGAATTTCTTAAATTTGACTACACAATCTGAAAGAGCAGCATAAAATACCTCTAAATGTGCAAAATTAGTTAGATATGCTCAAAATTGGGCGAGATATGGCCAATGAAAGATCTCAAGTTTGCTAACGGATTACTGTTATTCTGGTCTGGCTCATAAAGTTCAAAGAACCAAGACCAAATTACAGAGGTTTTGATGGGACAGAGCCTGTGCTCATGTGGCCATATCTCAGCTAATTCGCAATGCCTTAAGCTTATTTTGCATATTTAGAGGTATTTCATGATGCTCTTTCAGGTTCTGGGATCAAAATTAAAAACTTCTAAGAATAGATTTTTATGACGTCAACACTTCGGTACTTTATAGAGCAACGTTTTAGAAACATGAAAACCTTACACGAGTAACATGAAATGGAACACCTAACAAGTCATAAGGTGCTCGTCGTCTTGAATATCTATGTCAATTAAAGAGGAAATAAGTGTCTGATCGTTGAAAATATCATTTCCATCCCATCTTTTAAAAGAAGGATTTTCGTTTAGTTTCTCAAGATTGAGAGTGATCTGTACTCGTGGTTACTTATTTTTGTGGTCATCTTAGGGCTCAGTTGGTATAGAAATGAGTGGATTGTTTGTTCATCAACAAAGAGGGCATTTGAAAATCGAGTACAAGCTGTTAAAAAATTGCTAAAAAGACACTAGAGTCGAGACTCGTTAGTTATTTGGTAAATACACTTGAAATTAGTTGCTTCAGTCACCGTGTTTAGTAATAAACAAGCATATTCTTTGCATTATCTTCATGAACACATAGCGACCGTATTTTGCCTGATGGTCCTTGAGGCATGCTGTTCTTTTTTCCTAAATACCGACCAAATCTTTAAAAAAGCGCGTAAACACAAAATGTCGGGTACTAATATTTCATCATGCCACAGACCCAAAACACGTAGGCCCGATATTATATTGTTCCGATCGTCAATAGCAACTTGAACGCTGCCACACTGATAATAACTGTACGACAAAATAAGCACAACCTTACCTGCAGAATCGTGTATGTAATTGAAAGCAAAGGTCTTGACGCGGTGACGTCATATACTTTGAACACATCAAAATTCCATTTGTCAAGGTCTTCCATAATCTGCCGCAAGAGAGATACAGATCTTTGAGAATTTGACATATAATCTATGCTGTGATGAGAAATGTAGATACGAACAGATAATCTTTTAAGGAAACGATAGTTTCAAAAGGCTAGCGGACATAAATAAACATATAAAGAACTTGATCATGTTTACAGGTCCATCTACACAGATTATTCGAGTTGTTAAGATACGCTTGATAAGTTTATCATCCGCGAGTTACACAGTTATGCTTGAAAGAAATATTCTTTGATATAGCACCAAAGAACAGGTGAGGACTCGAAATGAAATCAATTAGCCATAAAGTAACACCAAATACTTGAAAAGTGGTACAAGGATAACATTGTGAAATTATCTGTTAAGGTGATTTAAAAGACTTGACTTCAGTACAAGGTTTCTGCGCGGAGAGGGATCACAGTTTGATTGGGATGGGTAAAGGCTGGGTTACGTTAAACAACAGTAATATTATCTGACCATAAAAAAATTATTCTTCGATTGTTCTTGTATGTCTGCCAAATAAATAATAATCCTTTCACTTCATAATCCTATTGTTTTAACATTCTTGTCAAGGTGAATAAATTCAAACCATCTTAAATTAAATAATGTCTTGAAGAATATCAAACACTAGAATTGCGGATTCCAGTTATCTTTAGTTCTGAGCAACAGAAAAATTTGAACAAGGAGCAATATAGAAATAAAAAATAGCTGTGCTTATCTTTCAATTATTCTTACGTGGAAAAACCAAAAAAATACCCAAAGATTAATGAAACCATCAACTTTTTTTCTTGACAAGAAAATTCATTTTTAAAAAAACGAACTTTATTAGGCTCGATTTGTAAAATAACAAGACAATTTCGAGAACGTGCCCAGCCTCACACAAAAATTAGAAAAAACAAGGTGTTTTTGGAAGATTTTATCATGTTAAGATGACAGCGCAGATTTTATCAGAAAATCAACTATTTTGCTAAACATTTCATGCAGGTCTGTTATCAAGTAATTTTAGAAACGATTCGTAGTATGTAGCTGTAGAAACATCAGTGTTGAGATAAGAAACAATATTAAGAATACCCGAGCCTCAATTAATTAAAAAAACAAGAACATCCAACCGCGGAAAACCATTTTTGGCTCTATACAAAATGGTATATCAAAACAAAGGGCAAACGAGGCGATAACTCGATTTTTTAAAAAATTCGAAAAAGGAATACAAACAAGAAAAATCAAAAGAAAATTATCATTTTTGCTTAGTTTTGTTTGTTTAGCAGAGCCTTTATAGATAACTAGAAAACGGGCAGCCAAACAGCTGCCGATCGTGTAGAAAGTCACTGAAAACTGGATTCCTAAAATTACATTACCCAAACCACGTCTCATGTTTATTGTATGTCAAGAAAAGTTTTGCAGGGTGTTGAATCATTTGAAAGGGCGAAGCTAGCAGAGGGGTGTATATGGTGTGATACCCCCCTTAATTCTTCATGAAATAGTCGGTAATTCTTCAGATGGTTCACGAAATCCTTAGCTGCTTAACAAAATCGTCTATCAGTAGGTGAAATAACACTTTAATTTTGTCTTCATTCACTCTAGTCTGGAAGGTAAAGCTATACAACTGAGCCCCGGTGCGAGGTGGAATGATCATTTTCCTGCACTCTCTGGATACTCTGCTAAAGATTAATTTAACGTGACCAAAAACTTACTTTTTCCAAAGGTGCTTCATCCGGGCATTCAACTCCAAACCTGTTGAAGACATTAACATTTTGTTAATTCAGTGGGTATATATACTTGATATTACTAAGAAATATGACGGCGAAAAATGAGAGCTCAGCATACAGAAGCCAAGCGCTTCAAAAAGCGCTTCAAACCGTATTTGCAATGTCGTCAGGGCTTTGCAAAGTACATGTACATGTTCAAACACGAAAGGAGCAAGTGGCAGCGCCATTTGTTACGTTGGTTCAGCCTTGCAACTACAATTTGGTTGGGTTTTCTCTACCGAGACATTATCTCACCCTGACATCGTAAGGGAGAAGCAAAATAGCTGTGTTGAGGAAAAGATTGGTGGTGAGGGTAGGGCATCTAACCCAAAACATATACGTATCCAGTGGTTATACGCTATGAAAAGAACAAGGGGGCTCTCTAAAAAATTTCTCAAAAAACAACAGTAAAAATTGGAAAAGGGAATTGGCCGCCCCTAAGCCCCTAGCTCTACAATCCTGTTCGCGTGTAGGTATATATCTTTAATTTTATAGAATTGGTTAACTAGTTATGGAATATATAAATCAAACAACACACATCAATTTAAAAAATTTGCAAATAACTTCTTAAGAATCATAAATATAATTTCCTTGATTTGTAAAAATAATTAGAAACAGAAAAAAACACGGTTCAAATGAAGCTGGTATGTATTCTATCATTTTTTAAAAATTCCATAATCTGTGCTTGCAAATTTATTGCAAACTTCATTTTACGTTACTCTGACCGGCTGAAATGTGATTTTAGAATTAAATCTGTGGCCTAAAATCAATAAGCCTGGCTTTACTTCAGTCGAAAAAATCCAAATTGTTTGCAGTTAAATTTTGCACTTGACAAAGGAAAGTTGAATTCGATTGAATAGGATAAGTAGGTATAAAAACGTCTTTTAGGCAACGCATGACTTGGTAGAAAAAAAACCTTTTAAAAAAATATTTGACTGACAAACTATCATTAATTAATCATCAATATAAATTGGACACATTCCAATGATATTTAACGGGATATAAAGACGCGCTTAATTGTCAAAAATGCAAGGATCGTTGAAAATTGTCACATTTTTTGGAGCTACAATCCCAGACAAAAATAATTGAGACTTTTCTAGGAAAGTTTATATTTTCTCTTTCATTTGAAAAATAACTCCCCCCTTCCACAACTCAATGTTGAATGCATGGTTTTGAAGGGGAATGATGGAACTACAGAGCCAACATTGATTTGGAGGAAAAGGGGGGATTCGAATTTACAGGGGCAACGTTAAGTGAAAAATTGTGAAATTTGCATTTTGTCTCAACAATTTTGTTCGGGATTGTAGTTTACGCTCGGGTACCAAGGTAAAACTTAGGTAAAAATAGAAATGAATTCTCTACCAAGGTTTTGGGGTTTCACCCCCAGCTACCCTATCCATTTGATGGACCATAAGTGAGCCCTTGATGGACCATAAGTGAAATCCACATACCTTGGGATTGATCCTGAGCAACTGATGCTGCGTGTCAGCTTCTTGATTGAGCGAACGAGGCTGCGGGATCTAGCGCGTATTGGCCCGCTGTGTTCCCGTGTATTTGAAGCGATATCGTCTTCCAAAGGCTTGTCTGTTTGGGTTGAGGTGAAAAAGTTTGGATTACCTTGAACACCAAAATTCATGACATCAATTGCGAATGATTCTGTGATAGTTGCTTAAATTAAGCCGATATCTTTGGATCAGTCTGTATTATACTTATAAACCTATCTCCTCTTCGCTAATACTTTATAGGTTGAATACATTACCTAATTTTCAACTGATACACCAAAACGAAAATTAAGAAGCACAGAAACCAGACCTATATACAAAATACACATAATGTAGTCTAGGGAGGAGCTCGAAGCAAAAATAGACATAACTGACGTAAATAGTATTTTCGTAACTTTTCATATATGTAGCAATGTGAAACAGTAATGATGTTTTTCTAACGGCGAAGAAGCCCGCTGTTACTGACGTTTGTGGATATTAATCAACAAGAGAGAACAGCGCAAAAGTCACAACAACCGCACCTGTAGCAGACAATACAGACTTCTGTCGCATTATAATATACATTTACGTGACAAAAGTATTAGGACGATCGCCTCGAAGCAAATGTGGTTAATCCTTTGCTCAAAGAACAACATAGATAATTGATAGAGCATAACGAGATTGCTGGTTGAGATTTTCGATTGCAATTTTACCCAATCGTAAATAAACATAAATTAAATAAATTGCAAAAAAGTAAACTTTTTAGACAAGTAACATTTGCTTTATTTCATATTTGTCACATGACCTACAAGAATCTAGGCAAGCCGCCATTTGCATTGAAACTCACTAAAATAATTTGCCAAAGAAATATCTTCAGATACGGGAGGAAATCTCAACAAAATTTTAAAAGAGCTTATTTTTGGTCTTAGAAGATTTCATTTCTCTTACTCTTTTATGAAAACCAATTGTTTTCAATTACATCAAGGCTTTGATTTTGACGGGGTTATTGAAAGACCATTATGTTATTATTTTTGAAAAATTCGGTCACAATTGCAGCATAACTAGATTTATTGTCCTGCTTAAAAATAAATGGTCTTTGCAAAGAATCATTAGTTGTTTCTGTACTTGCCTGGGGACTTTCCACAAAAATTGGACAAAATATTCAGCATTGATTGACTTCGCCCGCAACACCAGCTTGTCGCCGCCATTAGGCCCGACCAATAGTCTCCCTGCCCAGGCCTACCATTCTTTGAATTTTAGTCGGCATTGTTAACTTACTGTTCTTGTAAATAAAATGCCTTGTACACTTGCTGCAACTAAACTCTCTTGCAGTTTCAGCAAACAAATGACAAGCTAGACTTAATTTTTCTATTGCTTCTCTTTCTCTTTCTGGTTGTTTTTGTGTTTTCGGCATTGAAACCAAAACATTGATATTTTCAATTTCTCCCAGACATTTTGTTACCTTTCTATCATAGAAAGGTAGAAAATAAATCGAATTTGCTAGGATTTGCACTTTTGCTGACGCCATTTCTAGAATCCCACCAAAACAGCAAGATTTGTTCAATCAAAATTAGAATGCTAGTTTTGGAGACGCCATTTTGTTATTCGTTGTCCTAATACTTTTGTCACGTAAGTGTATATCTGATAATAAAGTTGTAGATGGAAATTTCCCGTCATAACTCCAACCATAATCCCGCCAGATTCACGTGAACCTCTGACAGAATACCATTCTAATGGTAATGGCGAAGAAAATAGCAGAAAGTGAGTAGTGGGGTATAAAGAACTTTAGACGCCTTAAAAAGACTTTCTTTGAAAGCAGAGCAAGCCAACATCAGTATTGATTGAATTTAACATTTTCCGTTTGCTACAATTCGTGATATCATCAATCATATTAAAAGGCGCCTAAGAAATCATGCAATATTGTTCACTATTGAACATAGGTACAGTTTGCTTACGAATATACTTGTAACTCATGTGCAAAGTCAATATCGAAAGACCAAACATGGCATATCATCCTAAAAGTACTTGTTACTGACAGCCTCTGCAGAACAATAAACATTGCGGTGGACAGAGAGTAAGAGAGAATGAAAACGATCATAACAGGTGTGCAAAGAAATGCACATTTTGAATCGCAAACAGCCAAGACTTACGGATCAGTATCAATTATTAATAGAGCAATGTAGCCCTGCAGAGAAATTAAGATTAACGGCTAATTCTAAAGCTAGGCCCTAGAACAGGTGATTTTGAAATCTCTGCCAGACGAAGCCGTTGACCCAAGAATACCTAAATGGGGCCTTAGATAGAGCCTTTAGATTGCGGGGCACGGTTTTATACACTCTGCATTCCTTTTTGAATGAACACTAAAATAAGACGTCGAACAGACCTCATTAAAGGCACAAGATAATGTGACGCTGAACGGGGGGGGGGCAGTCAGAGCGCAGTAGGACGGGGGGCAGCCAGAACGCAGTGGGCCGGGGGGGCAGTCAGAGCGCAGTGTGAAGGGGGAGGGGGCATTATGGACATAGGCCAACCCTCTCATCGGAAATTTGACCAGTTATGTTTCAATTGGATCAAATATGTCCTCTTTTTCGAAAAACATCATGCTAACCCAAAAATGCTCACCCATCTTGCTCACCCAAAGCTGCCCAAAGATCCGTCTTAGGTCTAGATAGGCCTGTCTTTAAGACAAGGCATCATGGTAAACTTAATAAAAGGCAAGGATCTTTTTAAGCTGCCTTGTCTAAATCTTTTTATCTTTAGACCATAAAGCCCCTTTTTACTATCAAACAGAAAGCCCATGATATATTTGGTGTCTATTGTTCCGATAAAGAGATAAACATATAAGATATAAGGGCACAAAACATGAAGACTACAATATATGTTTTATCACCTACCAATAAACGTGTTATACACCCAAGCCGATATTTCTGATGCACCATTCCCCGCCTCTGAATTCTCTTTCAACTCCCGATTCAAAATCTTTCGGAACTACAACATAAATAGAAAGATAAGAAAATCATTTCATTTAGGGAAACTAATAAGAAAAATCGACGCTGTTATGAAGCCAATACAGCGTATGGGGGGGGGGGGGGGTATTTGAGAGAATATAACTCAACAATAATATGACTTTCCAGATCAATACTTTTATTAAAAGAATTCAAATGCATTGCAAGATCTTTATGCTTTGATCAACATTAAATATCTAACATATAAACCGGAACATATCTAAATCTGTCTTGAGCAAAATCCAAAAAATGGTAAAATAAAAACCTTGTTAGATGCCATATCGCTGATGGTCATGCTGGCTTGCAAGCATTCAAGTTGGTTCAAACACCAATCAAATTCTTTCAATGTTTCCATCGTGAGCTACAAAGAGAACGAAACTGCTTTTAAGCCATGACAAACGAAGTTATTTTCACTATTCGGACGATACAGGCTACATTCGCAGTGATAATCATCACTGGTGAAGACAAGTCCATTACAGAGTCCAAAAAATAAACGATCCAAAGTCCGCAAGGAAAAAATAACAGGCAAATGTTAGACCCCGGATAAGACCATACACATGAATCTTTTCTGAATGATCTGCTGTAATGATCCATGAAAAAAAGGAAAAAATGTTTCACTCTTTAGGATACACAGACGCAGAATGACGTCAGGGATGAAACTTTTCTTACGATACCTTCATTTTTGAAACAGTAAATTCTATCTTTTTTCTTTTGCTCGCGTTTCTGTTTGGCCTTTTCGATTCTCAACTGGGTATATATATATATCTCATAGCATAGAGTTTTCGATCTATGTTCTGACGTTCTATCCTCTTTACGTCAGACGAAAAGCTTAAGTATGTTTAATGCATTTAAGGGTCAAAAGCTGTGCCTGTAAAAATCAAACGAGATCTAAAGTAAAGATAAGGAGGAAAAAGCAGCGTTTGATTTTCACACAGGAGCAAGCCTTTTTTTAGAGAGGAGGACAATAGGCAATGTCTATTAGACAATATCCACCTCAATAAGTGGGAGGGACAATTGCCCTCCTTCCTGTTAGTATGTTAAAAAAACCCTGAGTGTAGAGAAACAGAAAATAATTCAGCCCATGAGCCACAAATGCAAAGAAACAGTATATGATTTCAAGCAAGATAAATAACAGACCATTAAGAGCGTGGTCCTTCATTTTCACATCGCTCTTCCGATCCTCAATTCCACTGGTCCGTGAAAAGCCGTTTACGTATCACAAACACCGCTAACCATTTTCAATTATACGATTCCTCTCTGTTTCATATCGAAATTACTTAAGGTCGTCAGAGCAGCACAAAGTACTCAAACTGATGTGAAATAAAGGTTTGAGTTGCAAATATTTACTCAAAATTTCAAAGAAACCCATTATAACCTTTAGCTTGCTTAAATTATCGAGTTTCCTCACAAGAATCGCTGAAAATATGCATAACAGCACCAGAAGAAGACATAAACAAGAGCTAATTTGCATAAAAAGCGTTGGAATACGTGCTAAAATTCTAGCAAAAGCACTTGTCCTGAAAATTGATAACTTCATACGGCTTTCAATAATGTTTGTTTAACAAATTTTCAAACATTAAATTCATGGTAATAACATGTGGTTGAGAAAAATTTTTTTTTGAATAAAAAACAAAAGCATATCTGTGACGATTCTAGCAAGCCTATAATTAATTTATCAAATGGATTATTGTGAGAACACAACCAAAGGAATTTGAACAAGAAAATATCAAAGTTTGAGAAGCAACGAACGTTCTCGAAAATTGAAAATATAACCGCTAAACAAATTCTTTCACTCACCTTTTTAAACATATCATCTGCAATGCAAAAATAAAAGTCAAAAGAAATGGGCAAAGTTCAAATGCAAAACAACAATTAGAAAGAGTTTCAAGATTGCGATAAATTTTGTAGCACTGATTATAGAAAATATAATTTAATGTAAGATTAAATAGGGAACTAGATTATTGAAATTGGGATTACGTTCTGAATTTGTTCAATAGATAGAATACAAGTTTTCATTACAGTTTTCTTTTTAATGTTGTTTTTTGCATGGGGTGATATTCGAGACAATATTTGAAGCATCATGGCTCAATCTAGAATATACTAAAACCGACCGAGAAGGGGACGTAAGAAGAACACAAGGACAAGCGGACGGACGAAAGGGACAAGCGGACGGACGAAAGGGACAAGCGGACAGACGAAAGGGACAAGCGGACGGACCAGACAACAAACGCTCGGACAGATGAACAATCGATACACTTACAAACACGCACAAAAAATAACAATCAAGTTCAAAAAAGAAAAAAAACAAGGAGCGGGCTCTGCTTCTTTCCCACTAGGCAGGTTTCCAATAGCCTGCGCGCAAACTCGACTGGTTTTCCCAGAGATGAATTTAGTTGAACGGAAAATTTAGGGAAATACTTAATTTTGGCAAGGTTTCCAATCAGCTGCCACTGCTGCTATGAAAGCATGACAACAACAAATCACAAAAATAAAGCAAAACAACGACAGACCTCTAATAAAGCTGCCATCTCCTGTCTCGTAAAGATTGCACACTCTAGAATTTAAATGAAAACCATCCGATCCTCGGCGATGTCTGTGGGAAGCAAATTTTGATTAGAAATTGTCTGGAAAAGGTAGACAAAACTGAGATACGAAAAATAAAAACAACAGGGAAGGAAAGGTCCGCAGACAAAAAATTACTCGCACTAGACGTATGTCAGGATGTTTGTAAACAAAAGTGGAAAGTTGATACAGGTTGGTGCAAACAATAACATTCTTATCACAATTATTTTACAAGTAACCTTATCACCAAAGTTCAAATTCGTGTTTTTGCAACACTCAATATTGTTTGTAAATAGGAAACACTCAAGAATTATTTTGCAATTTATCTCCTTATTACGATACCTTGATAAATTTTCTATATTTTACGTCAGAAAAAGTTTACACAATTTGCTAATTGAATTTAAGATGGTTAGAGGCAGTCTGTCCCCAGTTGTTCTCAAAATCTCTTTTCATGGCCTCGTTGGTTTAATAACTAGCCCCCCCCCCCCCTGTAATGATTCACGCATTCACGCACAACTTTTGACTTTTCACGCATTCACGCACTGCAAATTGGATTTCACGCTCGCGCAAACAATAAATGTAATATCAGCTATTGCTCACCAGAGCCCTACTTGAAGGACTACAACACGACTTTAAAAGAGACTCGTGTGTGATATGACTCAACAAAATACTAATTCGAGATTTTTAACTATTATTAGTTTATTATGCACCAAATGGAGGCAATTTTTTTAAATTATCATTTAAAATTTCATTCACGAATTCACGGATCGTTAAAGCCTTTTCACGACATAACGCAAAAAAAACTCATGTTTCACGCTTCACGTAGTAATCTAAATTCACGAAATCACGCATAATACCCTCCCTGGGTCAGTTGCTGCAAATTTTGTTTTAGTCTCAAACGTCTAGATCAGTTTCAATGATATAAAGTTATGGCATTTTTGGTCGTGTTAACCCACAATAACTAATGTCGAATGGTAAAACGGCAGAGGCAGACCCTCTGAAGGCGAGGCATTCAAGTTAGAATTGGCCAGTTACGGAGAGGATAGACTGCCTTTAAGAAATCTATTCTGGAGACTTTACTGCCATTTCGTAGAGGTAAGGTGCGATGCTACTCGAACTCAAGTGTAGTATCAAAAAAGACTGGTATCAAGTAAAAGACTGGTATCAAGTGTAGTTTGTATCAAGTGTTGGTCACGTTACCCAAAATCGAATAAACCCTAGCTAACTGCATACATGTGTCAAGATTTGGTACAAATAATACGTGTATTTAAGTAAGAAGGGCAAAAAAATGGAAAAGGTATGTTTACCTGCTCTGGCGTACATTTGTCAGCAGGACGAAGTTTGAGCGAATGTTTTGAAGGCAGGAGAGAACTTGGGCAAAAGGGGTGACCAGCTCTTCTGAACGTACTCTGAAAAGGAAAGTTACACAATAAGATTCTGAGAGAGGAAGGGGGTGCAAATTGTTTTGTATTTGTTGCGATTTAAGAGAAAGAGGACGGGGGGCCTTTGCAATGATTCGTGTGAGAAAGGCTCAGTAGTTGCGGACTACAGATAAGAGGGTCTGGGCTCGGAGTCCCTACCATAGAGTGAGGGGCTTCGCCAGCTCTTTCTAACGCCAGACTTAGAAGTCACGAGATATGGTCATATCGGGAAGAAGGACTAAACATGCGAAAAACCAAGACAGATATTTTGCATGGTTTTAAGGTCATTTTGAAAATTATTGGGGTGGGGCTATAGCCCCTTCAGCCCCCCGCTTCAACGCTTAATGTCTAACACTACAACTATTCATCTGTAAGCTATTCATGATAATAATCTTCCTTACTTAGGCCCTCTTCACACGATACCAGATTCATTTCGTATCAAACCCCTTTTCATATCGGATAGGCCTTCTGTTCACACGATGACGCTTGAATCCGATACGCTTCGTATCGTTTTTGCGGAGTCAAACCATTCCGCTGTGAATGTGGAATGGAATCATATCGAATCGTTTTTGAGGTCGTGTAAACGCATGAATCCGAAACGGTTTCGCTCTGGAACCTCTGCTTCGAAAAGGCAGCCTCGTTTTAGGGGTTTTTAAAAACATTTTGGCACTCTTTTCAAGACACAAAATGACAGTGGATCGCAGTTAAACAATAAATATGCTCCTTGCGATGATGATGAGCTTCACAAGATTAATGCAAAGGAAAATTGATGTCGGAATATTTCTTCTTCAAAACAAAACAGCGTATCAGTTCCGTCACGTCAGAGAATGCATTCAATCAGAAAAAGAGCAAATCAACGAACAACATTCCACGTTGCTATGCAACTTCTTCAAGACAATGGATTTTTCGGAGCAGTGTTAAAGCGTAGCGTCACCGTGTGAACAGGAGTGAATCCGATACGAAATGAATCCGGTATCGTGTGAACAGAGCTTAATATTCGTATCGGATTGGGTCAGTGAATCCGATATGAAATGAATCCGGTATCGTGGGAACGGAATGGAACACCGGACGATTATCGACACAATCTATAGACACAACAGTCGAAAGCTAAATATGGACTGTAAGTTAGACTGCAATATAATGTTTATTTAAAGTTTACTGGATAGTAAATAACATTATTCAAGTTAATCCTTCGGTGCTACAGAGAAGATTTACAAAAACAACAACAAAACCCAATGCACACTAATGCGGATTGGACTAAGGCCACAAACTGTTGACGGTTGCTTTATCGTTAACACTGTAAAGTGCTCACCAAGCCTTCAATCATTTCGAAAGAAAATGTTGTGCTTTGTTTGCGGGTAATATTTGCAAAGTTAATGCTTGGATGCAGGGCCCGTACCACGGGGGGTTGCTTGGGGGGCCAGAGTCCCCTATTTTTTGCTAAATGTGTTAAAACTTTCATGTTGTTAAACGTGTAACTTATAAGACCTATAAGACAACAATAATAAAAGAAAAGTTGATTGGCCCTTTTGAGTCTTGCCTGAGTAAAGGTTTTGCTCTTTTAATTGCGGTTCCTGCAGTACGTACGAGTTTTTCTAAAATGCACTTTTTTATAAGAACACGAGACTCAAAATTGGTCACTAGTTAAGAACAAATTAAGAACAAGCTGCGGCTGAGTTTCTTCAAAATACAATTTTGAACAAAGTTTTTTCCCAAAATCGAGGATTTTTAGCGATGTGTGGGGACTTTTTTGTGAATATTCAAACTTGTCGGTAAATGAAGGTTGTCTCACTCACTTTGTTTGCAAATGAGACCTGACTACCTCCCTAGAGCGAAAAAGCTAGCAATCGCACTGCTTACATCCTCTCAGATTAAGAACAAATTAAGACCAATCCAGCGTTAGATTTTCGAAAAAATTACGAACAGTCAGCCTGAACTTAAATTAACTGGTTCTTATACAAGTGTAATTACAATTTTTTACTTGAGTTTTTCGGGTTTTGAGCAGCTTTTAAAATTGTTATTTCTTATGCATTATTAGTTTTGAATGGGTAGTCAAGATGATTCTCCATCTGCACTAGCCATTACTTAGACTAAGAAATGAAAACGATGGTAGGAAATTTATGGCTGTACTTCATAGTTTTGTGGCCACTGGAAGGTGGGGGTGGCTCTTTGGAGTGGCTTCTTGAGAATAGTCCGTAGGGGAATGTCATCTCAGAGAATAGCCTCAGTAGAAGTAGATGAAAACATGTGATAGAATTTATAATCATGCCAAACAAAACTTTTTCGCTCAATGTCAGCAGCTGGTCATTAATAAAAGATGAGAGGGTTTTCGCTAGGCAAAGAGTTCCTTTAGATTTATGACCTAGTGTATAAAAGCGGAGGAGGATTGTCCAAACCGCTGTCCGACCGGAACAAGAATGACGCTCTTCTCGATCCGGACACAGGAAGTTAAAACAAAACTTACACTGATATATAATACGTAGAGAGTTTCTTGATAAGATTCTCACCCTTCACTTGAAATTGATGACCTAGAAGACAACGGCGGTGGGGGGTTGTCGCAATCACTGTCCGACCGGTACAAAAACGATTCTCTTCTCGATCCGGATACGGGAAGTTGCAATCGGTCGTGCTCATTAAGTGGACTCGTTTGCTGCTTTGCATGTTGCTCGGCATCACCATGGAGCCTTGAACTAAGATGAAAAGAATTGTGTTTACATTAACGGCATAAACGGGTTTTAATTTTGTCACGAAATTAGGATACAAAAGAAAGTTGGGATAATCTCTTCAACATCTGTAGGGATTAAAACGTAAAGGTGTTTTTAGCGAACATTGAACCGGCGCATTTGCTGAAGAAGCAAGATAACTTTTGACTACCTTACAATGCCGAGCAGAAAACCTACTGCTTCATAACCATAGTAAGATAGTGGCTTTAACAAAAAACATAAAAAAATGACTTTGAAAAAACAAACATTTGAGTAACATCATAATTCTAAATAATTACCAACATAACAGCAATGTTACTGTGCAAAAAGTAGGTTGAAATTGCCGGAGGGGCCATCGAGAAACCTCAGCCAGTAAACGGAACAAATCTTTTTTGAATAATTTGAATTTGAATAAATGTAAAAATGCAAATAAACGACCAAAAAATTAGATTCAAGTCCCAAATCAACTCTAAACGTCACAAACAAAACAATGTTATAAAAAACATCGGCTCAAACTGGACATTAAGAAAAACTAATAAAAAATCAGTACTTGAAGCAAAAACATTAAGAAACAATTAAATCTGAAAAATAACTGAATAATCATTATTTGGAGATTGTCCGAAAACGTTGTTGACATGTTGGCACAAAAAATAGTATTTCTTAAACGTCACAAACGTTTTTCACAACCAACTTCGCAAGGCCCTTATCTTTGAAATAACTGAAATAAGATACTAAGTATAAAAGTTCGAAGTACTCTCTATTACTTGCGAATTGAATCTGTTTTTTTCTCACACGAGAGAAAACTTTAAAAAAAAAAAATTTTCCAACCAATTTTTAATCTCAGGCTGGTCATGTTCTCACGTTGTTGTTATTTCTTAGCAAATCAAGCCTCGGTGTTCTTATAAAAAGGAGTGTATGTAAAATTAGTGCCACAATATACGAATGACAAAGCAATGGTTAATTCTGATTACACGTATTTTTTATAAGAAACTAAGGTCCCGTGTTGGTAGGCAGTTTCTAAGATTTTCTGGTCATTTTGCTATCAAAAGCTTCTTACATATTTCTTAAATTTCTTAGGTAATGAATTCTTTAAACGTGCTTTCAAGGTAAAGTAAATAGTTCACTTATATTCAGAGATAAAGTGATAAGGAATTTTGTTTTCATACAATGCCTGCCAAAACTACTAGGAACACCCAGCAATTTACGCTCCATTTGATATCTTTCATTCCTTTCAAGAAAAAAATTACTACTTCCGCCCCTTCCCCCCAAAACAATGTCGATAATTTAGAGAAATATCATAAAAGAAGCGCAAAAGAAAGTACTTCCTAAAACCCTAACCCGTTTGATATTAAACCAACATTGTTCCGTGGGGGAGAGGAGGGGGGTGGTGGATTTTGACCTTGGAAATTGATGTCAGTGTTCTAAGACTTTGGCAGACATTGTAGAATAACTAACTCTGTTGAGATCTGTAGACAGTTAAGCTCATTGAACTTCATCAATGTCAAATTGCAGTCAAAACAAATTTTTAGATGAAACTTTTTGAGTGTGCAATTTACTGAATGCAATTCTTATTACCTGTTTCTAATAAAAAAATTAGTGTAATGGTTGTCAGATTCAGGAAATCATTAGACTTCAAAGGTCTCGCGCGAACATTTTTGGTGCCCAAAGAAAAGAATAACAAGTAAATGTGCAAGGAATAAAATGTTAAGTTCGCTCCTTTTTGATAATAATTTTGAAAATATGAGTTAACAATCTGTGCGACAGACTGTTTATCGTATTAGGAAGGAGGGGGCGTAAAGTTTAGCCTAGAACAGTTCAAAAATCCGTCTCACTGCAGTAGTAGTACCTACATGGCAATACAGGTTTATAATTACAACAAATTATCAAGTTGATAAGAAACACAAATTTCAAACGTTCACGACAGTTAATCTCTTGATATGGTTGCGTCACATGCTCAAGTTAAGAATCTCTCGTCTAAAATTGCTGCTTCTACTGTTAGCAGAGGATTACTAAAAACATCTGCGGATTGCTAAAAATATACCCTCCTTTTGCCCCCTGCCCCCACTTTTGAACTTGCCAGATTTATGACGGGCCTACAGCAAAGTCCACTCCTTCGAAGCCCAAACACGATACAGCGCCCAATTGAAGGTATCCTCATGCAGCAACTAAAGATTATCTTTTATCTCCAGTATTCAGGATTGAGTTAATACATACCGCTTGCCGAGGAGGTCATTGGAAAGCCCAACTAGCTTCAACTCTCGACTATGCTCCATTTTATTTCAAACTAACTGCGAATTGAAGGCCAGTGGTTTAATGCTTCAAGGTTTTCAAAACAACCCAACGTAGACGGCAATTCCTCTGAGGTTAATCCTCATTCTTACAAGTGGTATGTTTATAGTGAATCATATTGACTGGTGTCTGAAATGCATTTTAAACCTGACTTTTGAGATTTCTCCCGAGGTAAAACTTCATCCAGGAAACAGCTAGGCCACTTATTCCTGCGACACGGATGGTACTTACATCTGAGCTGATGTCAATCAAACAACATAGATAGGTTTCTCTATGCAAAACAAACTCAAAAGCGGCGTATCGGTACACAACCCAGACAGCCCGCGGTCAGCTTGCTGGCAAACCACAAACATACACATCAAATAATGAAAGCAATTGACTGTCGCACATTTCCTTTAATAAACAATTAGCCACTACTATACTTGATAATTAACTCCATGAAGATCTGCGATTTTAAACAAAGAAGTCTGCAAAAACACTGTAGGTCTGGATAATGCGGAAAAATTTTTTCTCTCACAAAAGTGGAAAAAGCCTTTGGGACGAGGGCATGCACATGGAAAGCCATGCACAAGCCCTAACCTGTATGACTAGAGAAAAATAATAATAATAATTAGGATTAGCCGATTCCACATTTGGAAGCAATTGGCAATCATTGAATGTTACAGTGTTACTTTCACAGTTGATCTTTCACCAAGAATTACTTTTTGGATCTGTTTTCTTGAAGTAGTCAGACAGGAATTGACCTTGACTTATTTATGCTTGATCACATGGTCCTTTCTATTATATAGAGGGTACTTTTCGGCCTCTTCTTTTGAACTTGTTTGTGTGGAAGGTCAGCATCTTACAGGGGAGGGCACTTTCTCTCCGGATGACATGTGCTATCCATTGTTTCTGTTGTTTTTCATAATAGGTGGCTACATTAACTTGACTGTATTTGTTATCTCGTATATGATTTTATATGACCATGTAGTATTCGTTATAATTACAATGTTCCTGATTCCTTCAGTTGGTGCGTAAGTTGGGATTATCTTTAGTTTGTAACCTTTAAGACATATATCGACAGCCATTAATCTTGGTGAGATGTGCATAATATCAGATACCGTCATTTCTTTTGTTTTTCGTAATGCAATAGCAACAACGTGTTGTCGAATACAATTTTTTCCGTTCCAATGTATGTCATATCATTTGTAAGATTGTGATCCTCCTCAAAGTCGTCTGAATTCTTGTATGCATACGATGTCGAGGTTTGCTTTTCACATCGGTCAATGATGTCATGAAGACGAAAGTCGTCAGAACACGATTGAATATTTATTTGCCCTGCTCTCCATTTGAAATATTTCGGATCTTCACTGTGTTTATTTCCTTTTCTAGCTCTTGATGTTTACATGGGCTCCGACAAAGGTTGAAAAGTAGGGGGGGGGGCAAGGGAAAATTTAACACCCATAACAGAAGATTTTGTAAAAAACTATTGTTTTGCAAAAAGTGGAGGGGGCCAAGGCCCCCCCGGCCCCCCTTCGTCGGAGGCCTTGTTTTAGTCATTTCATTTCTTTGATCTAATGGTAGACTAGGCCTTTTCGAACCAATATCACATTTTTCGACTCTAGCCTGGTTGAACACTAAAGGACGCGCCCCTTAGTAACCCGCGCGACGGGCGATGCGATATGTCGGTTTTGCAATGTTCATAGCTTGCCTTGGTTGTGTTTTATAGTTTCCACCAACTAGTATTTTTAAGAGACACTATCTCAAGTACTTTGATCAAGGTACCAGCTTTAGCCTTTGGTCAGCCAAGACCTAAATGCAAGGCAGCAAATAATAACTGTGACCCAAGTGAGGGGACATACAGGTACTATACCTTGCCCACGGGTGACCTCGAGGCAGCTGTGGTCAAAGGTAGCCTCACATTCCCAAGGCCAAGACTCCACAACTGGATGTAGTGTCATACCAAAGACAACACAGGTGCAAAACACGCAAAAAACTTGCAAAAAACATATGGCAAAGACCATTGCTGGTCAAACTAGGACTTCAAACACCGCGACACGAACAACAAAAATAGATTCAAAAATGAATAGAATAATACAACAACCCCAAACACTTTTTAATTGTCATATAGCGGTGTTTTTCTTCATTTTAATGACAAGATGTCTAAAGAATCACAGCTATGACGTATGACACCACACTGAAGGTTGGAACGTGTAGGCAGATAATCATTAGGGCGACAAATTTTGATTACATTTCAAGAAGAGACAAAAAGATTACACATTCTAATCCATTCAGATTTTTGCTATGTTGGATTTTAGCAAACATTGCACAATGAAGGAAGCTGGACGAATCAATGAATGTATTTCATGCTATGAATAGTTAAACATAACGTCAATGGCCACGAAATTACTATCAAACAGTATTGTAGTTTAAAAGCGAATGTTGCAAAAAACAAAATCAGAGTAGCAGGTGTTCTACTATTGCAAGCAAAAATAGTACATGTGATTTCATGCAATCAGTGCCATAGGAAAGAAAGTGCCATAGGGGGCACTACTGGAAACAATAGAAACAAGCCCCTTGAAAAATGTGGTCATACACATAGGAGCAATGGGGGCACAGGGGGCAGGATCCATTTATGAAATATTTCCTATATCTATGACAACTCTAGCAGCAGTAGTTTTAGGGACAGTAGGGACCGGGGCCAAGAACATCTGCAGTGC